ACTTGATTCCTAAGATTTATTTTGATGTGATGAAGAGTGCCCAAAATTGTGTTCAAACTCCCTGTGAACCAGCTGCAGCTCCTACACACAGTTTGAGTGTAGGAGCTGCAGCTGGTTCACAGCATAGCCCGTATAAAGGGATATATTTACAGTCTATGGTTCACAGGGACAGAGATATGGCTACTGTTATGTGTTGGCTATTGTCACCAAAAAGTGGGCGTCACTGTTAAAGGGAAGTAAAGTAAATCTCCTGCACAAGTTATTGCTTTGGCCATGCATTTGTATCCCTGTTTTACAAGGAAACACGTGTATAGTGATACATTCCTTTTTAGGCCAAACTACTCACTGTGCTGTATTGGACATTTAAGGGATAGAGATTCACTGTGTGCTAAAAAGGTAACGGGGATAGTCTTCATTGATTAAATGGGAAAAACACAATATCAGAGCATGTCATTTCTTCAGTAAAAAAATGTTCCTCAGAGAAGATTTTCTATATGAATACCAGTCACCACACTCATGCTGTAAACATATTCACCTTGTAACAAGTATGAAAAAAGGGTAGACAGAGTAAAAAGTCAGGTTCAAGTCCTATGTTTGCTGTCTATGCTGGATTTAATAAACAGTAGATATAAAACTACAACCTGTGCCCCTTACAGACACTATCTATCTCTATCCAAATTAAATTATAAACTTTTTCTATGGGCTTTGTAGTTTAGTTTCAAACAGAGGCTACTGAAAACTATTAACAAAAATCTAACAGTGAGACGTAACAAGCATAGGTTTTTATTTATTTATAAAGCCTTAATATGCAAAATGCCACCATATATTACTTCCTTATAAGACAGGTTTCTAAAATCACTTCTCAACATGTTCCAGTAATTGGCTGATGCTTGAAGTCTCACAGGCAAACACTTCATTTGGAAAAAAAGATTAAACACTTTTGCAACAAACTTCTACCTGTGGGTCAATTTAAAACTATGATTACAAACTTCTCTGCCTTTGCATTTAACTGATTTTATTTTTGTTGTTACCATTATTTTTGTATTTACTTTGTTTGTGAGCATTTATTCTGTTTTGCTGTAAACTCAGCATCATGGAAAATGACAGCACGCCCTCAGGGATTTTTCAAGATTTTTAATAAAGGATGAATGAACATATATTTGCTTAAATTGTTAGATGATTGTGTACTGGGTTAAGTAACCGAGGTCCATTAGAGAACGGTGTTATTCACAAACCTTAACAGATGAAGTGTATTTACCAAACATATATTAAATGTAGTATTTTTTCAATGCATCGTCATCTTCTTAATGATTACAGTTACTACTTTGCATTTTAATCAATTGAAACCCTAATTAAATACAACAGGGACACATTTTAGTAAATTTAACAATATATAGCCAATAATAAATCATGTTTCCATTGTGATTTAGCTCAGACCAGCCAACACTTTTTAAACTGTTTTAATCCATGACGCTCATAAATTATCCTCTGTCTGATTTAGGGAATGACATATTCACAGATGTAATTTTTGAGGCTGCGACACACCTCATCATACCACTTTCCATGTGCCGCCACTGACAGAGCCACACAGCTCTCCCTCTTGGTTCCTGTGGGCTGCTTCTTGGAGCGGTCCCAGTTGAAGTAGCTGACTGGTATGCTGTTGACATCAACATACTGGCCCTCTTTCACTATGTCAGCCACACCAATCCAGAAGTCCTTGGATCCAGGAGCACTCCTCTTTGCATAGTCCCTCAGGTCATTGTTTTCCATCATGTCCCGAGGTGTTGCAAGAGTTCCTCCTTGTGCAATGCAGTCTTCATTTGCTTCATGGTAATGTTTGGGCTCCTCGATTGTCAGATAACACTTTCTGTGTGCTTTGATTCCACGGAGACAGACTGAAAACACAATGGACCTACTTCATGAGTAAACTGAATTGTAATGTCTGAATTTACTGTTTAAAAACAGAATAATAACCATAATTGGCATTTTAACAAAATACTCATATTTTTTACTTTATTTTTTGAATCCCCCTTTTTCAAGAAAATAATTTTTGTCTACAATCATGAAGATAAATAATGAAGACTGAAGAGTTTACCATCAGCAGAGTATAGGTTATCAACTTCTAAAGGAAAAAAAGGAGCATACAAAAACAACTAAACAACAAAAACAGATGAATGAATTCATTGTATTTCAAAGTGATCTACTGGGTTATTAAAACAAGAGAGGGGGAGTTATGATGTAGATTTTATTTTGTATTCTCAGTCTTCCCAGTCTGCAATTCATCCTCTAACTTTATATTTTAAATTCTGATAAGAGTGCTGCTGCCCTCTGCTGGAGACACCGCATAGTAGAAAGTTAAAAGTTGTGTTCTGAAGTTGTCAATTTTCTGACAGCTTATAAAGAGAAAGCACCATTACATATTGATAATGCCAACTAGTCATATCAACAATGTAAAGCTGCCATTGCCCCACATTTTCTCTCATTTACTTGTCTTAAGAAAATAAATACCAAATGATGATAGCAATGTTAATAAATCTAATCCATCATCTCCTATCATTTATTTAGTGAGGGTAGTACCTGTCTGTAATGCCTGCATCTCTTTCAATGAGTTCACCTCCTGCCACAACTTCTCAAGCTGGGACTTCACATCATCTTCCTCTGCAGCCACATGCCAATACAGAGGACACAAGAACAGGTTGGATGAAACATCAGTATAGCCTATACTTAATTTATGATATGTGTGTGAAATAGTTACCTCGGGGTGAAACAGCCTTCCTGGTGCGGGACGGACGGCTGGAGCTGAGGTGGAGCATGGAGAAGCAGAGAACGATGAAGACATGCAGAACCAGACGAGCCATGTCTGAGACCGGTGGATCCTAACAGGCCGGACACAGTGACACACCTTGTACTGCTGTGAACGGAACCAAAAATCACTGCAGGCAGCTCAATATATACTGGCCCCTCTGTATGCCTCTGTGGGTTCCTCTCCCTGCATTGGCTCCAGCTCTGTTTGTATTTATCCAAACATCAGGAGGAGGTGAAAGAGGTATAAGGGTAGAGGAGGAAATAATAACCTCCTTGTGTCTGGCTTTTCATAAATATTTACTTGGGACAAGGTGAACTAAGCAGCGTTCCCTTTCATTTCACAAACAAATCCATTGACTGCTGCACTGTTACAGAGTGTTCTTCACCCTGTCCAATGTTTTAACATGTTGAGTCACTTCTTAACTAGTGAAAATGTTGATACATCTCAAGGAAAAAGTTTGCTTATACGGAATATACTTTGCTAACATAAAGTGGTTCTACACTCACAAACCTTTAATTTACAAATTTAACTGGATGGACATTGAACTGAGGAAATGTTGTTCATACTTACACTATTTGCTCTTACCTACACTCTCTTCAATGTTTTAGTCATACAAACTTCTAGTTATATAATCTTTAGAAAATAAAGCTTCTACTAGACCTGAGGAAGTCCAGCGCTCTGCTACGGTGCATGCCAAGTTATTTTTAGAGTGGGATGTTGTATATAGATGGGAGGGGGATGCTAAATAAGAAAATCTCTTGGGTATATAGGGTCAGTATAGAAATGTGACCCACAAAACCAACAATTAAGCATGGCCCCTCATTTCACATAGGGGAAATAGTGTTATCTTTAACTTAAAGCTGTACTAAGTACTTGAAAAAGTCCCTGGATGATTTATTCCAATCAAAACTGAAGACCAAAAACTGACAAAACTTGGTTACATCATTCTCTGTAGCATTAAACACATCCAATTTATTTCAATATTAACTACTTAAATAGCAGCATTTTCACACCAACTTAAAGAAACTGCATCTTGAAATTAAAGGACAAGGCATTTGTGATTAGTTATTTATACACGTTGCACTACATGGACACCTCAAACTAACATTAAACCATGAGCTCAGAAGTATACTGACTCAATTCTCATGGTTTAATTGACAATTACTTAAAATTACACTGCATGGATTTTTTAAATAAAAACAGTTTGCAGCAGCTCGGCCAATGATTATATGAATAGGTTCTGCCCACAGTGAATTTTTGAAAATCCCTCACTCTGTTGCCATCTAGTGCTAAAAGGAGGGATCATGCAGGACGTGCAGCATATGTGAAGTGTTTTTTAAATGTTGGCACTCACAATACAACTGAAAAAATCTTTTAGAAATAGAAACTCTTCATGAAGTAAACAAAAAAACATATTTAAATATATTTGTATATGTAAAAGTAAACGTGTAAAAAAAAATTGTATAACAATGTCTAGACAACTTTTTGAAATGATTAGGAATAACAGTCAAACAATGAAGTGAGTACCTTGCAGATACATTTATTCAAGTAAACAGAGCTGTACTCAAAGAAAGTACACAACAAAGAAGTGACAAAAATATACGACCACTGGTAAACCATAGTTTATATGGAAGATTGTGAACACACTATACAATACTAGACATTTCTGTTTTGTTTTTTAAGCCAATCATAATTCAAGCAAAGACTTGCACCCTCTCTCTTACACACATAAACCTACACACACACACAAACACACAAACACACACACATATACAAACAACATACTTGACATTAAAGGCATCGAAATTGACATGTCATTTTCAAAGTGTTTACGCATCATTCCCCCTATTTGGAGTCAAGAAATCACTTCCTAAATCGATTGAATCTAATACAAGCATTAACACTGTCTCCACTGTGTTTCAATCAGCTTCAAAGCCTGCTGCGCAAAATACTGTTAATCTAACTCTTAAGTTAGTGGATGCATGATCTACTTTCTAATTATGGCATGCTTGGAAAATGAACCCGTGCTGCTGTTTCAAATTGGAGAGAATACTTTTTGATTTATGGTCTGTTTTTATTTTTAGTACGTCAAGTTATAAATAATTCAAATGAATATCCGGGACAAAACAAACTGAATGAGCACAACTTCAGGACTACTGGAAGCAAACATAAGCTGTTCTTTCTCAATTTGATGAATGACAGAATAAGAACAGGTGAGTCATCTGTAGAAGGTGATGCAGTGTGCACTTCATGAAGAACTTGCAGATGTTCTAAAGCAGAGAATAATACTCACAGTAACACACAGATCTAAATCACCCTGCCTTCATACTCCAGCTTATCAAGAATTGTTTTATCATGGAGCTTTTTGGCACTTCTGCTGTGAGGCACCAGCAAGTAAGCAATTTTTTATCAGACAAGCAATGCAGAGAGTCCTCAAACCTCCGACTGCATCTGACTGACCATTTAATTTTCTAAAAATATCAGCAGTCTACTGATGTAACCGATGTTCTCTTTTATTTACATGCATTAAGCAGGATTTTGAGAGGTATACATTTGACCTAATACAACTCTGTTTATCCCACCATTTACAAAACTGAGATTTTGTTGGCCTGAAGATAAATGCTTCTCTGGTATATATTGTATTTATGTTAAAATTCAGAGTGCAAAGAGGGGAAACAGGTCTTCAGTATTCATAAAGAGAGCTCTGGCGGCACTTTGAATTCACCGAAGTACAAACTCTGTAAACAGGCAAGAAAGCATCTTAAATAGTTTTCATCACACTCCAGTTCAAAATACAGTTTCTGTTGGTTTGTACGATGTAAACTTCAGACAAGGAAAGCAGTTCAAGTATCAAACACATGTTGTCAGCTCAAAGGCACTGGGGATCCCATATTAATATACGATAAGAACCTCAAGATGAAATACCATGCAAATAACTACACTAACATTAATTTTGTCTTTTTTTTTTTTCTCTGCAGGCTTTTGCATAACTACTGTAACAAGACAAAGTGATTCACTCCATTGTTCAGGAGCACTACAACAATTGGATCACTTTGTGAATCAATTATTGAAGAAAGATGTGATATGTTTGACTAAATCTGTTCATCCGAGATCTGTTAAGAGCAGATCGACAGCTTTAAATGGTAATTAAATCTTAGTTGGCAGAACATCAACAGTAATATGGAAAAAAAATTATTGTTGTCAATAGCTAGCATAACATACCTTCATGTGTAAAGAATGTTACAATTCTACTAGTTTGGGAGTGGCACTTGGAAATCTTGCATCATTAACTGACAACAAACACTGACAAGAGGCACAGACATATTCTGTACACACATGCATACCTGCGTTCACACACATACACACACACACACACACACACACACACACATATACACTTGTGTGGCTGTGTTCCCCTGTGGTGAATCACTGAAGTCTATCTGTGTGTTGCAGGGTCGGGTTTAGTGGATGAAAGGCATTCGTTCCTTGCTGTCATTGTCTCCTTCGGGCTCCTCTTCTTCCTCTCCTGCTTCACTGGTCTCTGTGCTGTCGTTGGCCATCTAATGGAAAAATATTCTTCAGCTTTCAGATAATTTATACAGATAAAACAGGGGGGGAGACATGTTGGCTTGCATTAGGCGGTACAGTAGTTGTGTGAATGTGCCATGTGCTTATAGGCAGCTATATAGAGGGTCTATATTTTTCATTATAAGCACATATGCACATCCAGTAGTTGTAAAACAGAAGGGAGTCTTACTTACTGCCTCAAAATTATCCTGACTGTGCCTGAAAACATCTATTTATCACAATCAAATACCACCCAGTGAGTTATCAAAGAATCGCTGTGTGCTTAAAGAGTGCAGGAAAACAACAAGGTAAGATATTATATGTAATGTTCAGTAGCTTTTAAAAATGATCCTCAAGTGGTTCCGTTGTTGAGCATCCTTTTTCATCTTACTATATTCACCCTGTCTTTGTCTTTCTGTTGCTTACAATGTAAGATGGCACAAATTCATTAAAATACATAGTATAATTACGTTAAATACGTTAAGGCTGTGAAGTGCTGTGAGTCTTTGTAAAAGTTGTATATTTGTCAAGTGTGATCACTTACATTTAAAAGGAGAGAAAAACTTCAAAACATTGTTACCAGAGGAATGGGAGTCTTCTCAAAATCCAGAATGAGTTTTCCTATATTGACCCTGTCGTGGATTCTCTGCATGGCCTCTTTCACCTGCAAATAAAATACACCAATTAACTAAAAAAAAAATTAAAAAATGAAGTGATTAAAACAATAGCAGAACCCACAGCATTGTGGGGGTTGCCAAAATAGATAGGTTTGGTTGAGTTACACATAGCTTAGTATATAATAAATATGCTTCAGGCTTAAATTTATATCAATCAAAACCCAGGGGAATTTCTAAAGTGTTGGTTATAAAAACCAAATATTAGTAAGGCCGGTATTATATCTAAACTTGTATTCAGATTGTTCATGAAGAAAAATAAAAGCATCGAAAATTAGAACAATTTGAAACAATTCACTTCTGCTTTTAAATTTGTGAATGACTTCAAAAAGTAAAATCTCTCTTTCAAAACCATTTACAACAAACGAAAAGACATGTAGAGGCCTGCCTGAAACAAATAAAAAATAATCACAAAAACCCTTTGCAGATATTTCCTGGTGATAAATGACAAAGAACCACTTTCTCAGAGCTGAGAATCGAAACTGACCCTACTAGAAAAGCTGATAGCCTTGATTTTAATAAATGGTGCTGACTCACCCTGCTGGGCTACGTTTGACATCACACTGAACACTGAACTGCCTGCAGTTATGGTTCAAGAAGGTAACACAAGTACACTGCTGTATCTGACCTGGGAGTAGTCAGAATGTCGGCTGTACTAAACAGTGATTTGATTGTCCTTCACTGGCAGTGAAGTGATAGCTCTAATAACAAACAAAGCTATGAATAATAAATGTTTCTGCATCTTTCTACAGAACATTTTCATAATATTTAAGAGTGAGTCACATGAATTGATATGAATCATTCTTTATTTTTTTCAGAGTGAAACTCAAAAGGTAGCCTAATCATAAGTATCACCAAAGACACAAACCTCTGTAAATTAGACATGTTATTTTGTTCATAGATTTTTCAGGTAGTTTTATACTTTTGTCATAGAGGAGCGATGAGAGAGAGGGGAATGAAATGTGGTAAAGTAACGATGATTAATATCAAACCCAGGATCTCTGCCTCGAGGACTATAACCTCTGTACATTTGTGCACGATATTACCACTAGGCTATATGGCGCCCAAGACACATGTTCTGACAAAGTGTCAGGCTCCTATACCCACTTCGTCGTAACGTCAACCTCCTTATTTACAAGTAAAAAAGATTTAGGCAGTAAGACTTCCACTGTCCAAGAAGGTGGACGTTATTAATAAACACACTGTAGAAAGAGAAAGAACAGCAAAGATCTGCAGGAAGGTTTTTAATCATTCCGCACTCAAAATGAAGTTTAATTTCTTCACTATATTTTTTAGGGCCTGAGTACTGTATGTAGTAAATATGCCACGTGGCACATGAGCATATGCCGCGGCACGAGTTGACTATAGACCAGCATATGCCGATATGAGTGGCATATGCTGCTGCACACAGGCCATGTGAGTGGCACATGGCGCGGCATATTTACTATGTACATTTGCGTCAGACCTTTGCAAACTAAGGACTGCACACAGGATCCTCCGCTTCCTGCTTTTTTGCATTACAACCACCTTTTTGTACGTACATTCCATGTGAGGCTGAATTTTGGGTGACGTTTGGTGAGTTTTTGTGTATGTTAAAGTCCCCAAATAAGCAATTCATTGTGACGAGGGAGAATAATAACTCCGTCAGATTGAATAAGGTCCTCGCTCCGAGGTCAGTGCTCAGGCCCTAAAAAATACAGTGAAGAAACTAAACTTCATTTCGAGTGCGGAATGAACATGCCTAATTCAGTTCTGCTGGCAGGTGAACATAACTGAGTAAAGGTCTTCCTAGTATGTGTTTAGTAGGATAGCCCTTTGAGATGGATCATCTAATTTTCAAGGGGGTCCTAATAGCAGATAGACATAGAAACTTAAAATTATAGTTGCAAGCTGATGCACACTTACACAATATTTGTTTAGTTTCAACACTTCATATCATTGCCGCACTATTGACATCAGTGTGACTGATGTAGTCACACAGTGCATGCTTTTCTCATACTGTGCAGATTTAATGTCAAACAGCAATATAAGAAGCCAAGCAAGTTCCAATGTTGTCAGACTTTCCTTTTTGATGTTACTACAACATCATTGTTGTTTTAATGCAACATTTTCTCATTTATTTCCAACCACAATATCTACTTCCAATGATAGATTTATTTGTGTAATGTGTAACTCTCACACACCACAAAGGATTATTAAGGATGTCAAATCTCGCTTGACATTACAGTCGAAACAATGACCCAAGTGAATGTGCCTCTTTGTCTGTAAACCATTGTGTCACAGGCATTTGTTGAAAAAAAAAAAAAATAGAGGAAAACATGCCACGAGCAAAATTAGGTCAGAAACATTTTCCAGTAATTTGCTGCTTGGTAGGAAGTTTGTAGAAGATGATACAAGATCCACTTGTATTTTAAGTGTAATGAGACTTTACGAGTACTTTGAAACTTATAAATAGGCTCACTTTTATTTATTAGTTTCCTAAACTGCATTCAAAGTGTAACTTTCAGGTGAGGGAGACAGACAAATACATCTTCTGTTGGTCAGACTGCTCCTACTGCACTAATTTGTTTTAGACAGGAAGATTCACAACTTTTCATTCCAGAAAAAAAGGTTTCCTTGGTCAACACATCAATTAACGCCCTCTGAATTCTACTTCCAGGCATATAAACAAATGAGGCCGGCTGTGCCCCTGGCACTTCATCCCACACCATCCTCCCCCTCCAACCAGATTGTTCATGGGCAATGGTTCCAGTGAAAGGCCTGAACAATCTGCCAGGGAGTAATGACACCAGGGGGAGTTTCCCATGAGAAATGAAAATCTCTCACTAACTGCAGATAAAAGAAAGATAAGAATGACTTTTAATCAGCTTCTTGTGATGTATTTATTACCTGCACAGGCTCACTTTTACCTGAATTCTGGTTTTAGGGTGTGAATGAAATGAAACGTATGACCTGTTCAGTCAGAGCATGTTTCAAATTAACTCTAACACAGTTTAAACTTTGTGCTGATGGCTGAAACTTCTGTCCTAAATATTGCAGCAAAGGACTCCTCCTGGATGCCCCTATGATGGTATCATATCGCATCACATTGCATCGTACTGTAAAATATCGTATACTATCTTAACATATGGTAGCGTATTGCAACATATCGTATCGTAACGTAACATATTGTATCGTAACAAATTGTAGCTAATTGTAAAATATTGTATCCTATTATAACATATTGTATCGTAATGTAACATATCATATAGTAAAAAATTGTAGCTAATTGTAAAATATCGTATTCTATCTTAAAGGGGCTATATGTAACTTTCAAAAATACTGTTCGCTTATTAATGGGCGATAAAAAACGATTTATACATGTAAAAAGTTACATATAGCCCCTTTAACATATGGTAGCATATTGCAACATATCGTATCATAACATAAAATATCGTATAGTAACAAATTGTAGCTAATTGTAAAATATTGTATCTTATTGTAACATTGTATTGTATCAAACATAAAGTAGCGTATTTTAACATATCGTAACATATTGTAGCTAATTGTAACATATCCTATCGTAACATATTGTCGTGTATTGTAACATATTGTATCACAACATATTGTACCGTATTGTAACATAGTGTAGCGTATTGTAACATATTGTAGCGTATTGTAACATATTGTAGCGTAATATATTGTATCACAACATATTGTAGCGTATCGTAACATATTGTAACATATTGTAGCGTAACATATTGTAGCGTAACATATTGTAGCGTAACATATTGTAGCGTATTGTAACATATTGTAGCGTAACATATTGTATCACAACATATTGTAGCGTATTGTAACATATTGTAGCGTAACATACAGCGTAAGGAGTCAATATAACGAAAGATGTCTTTTATATTTGGTTGTGGCGACACAATATCATAAATAAATCGCAGAGAGGTATTCAAGATTTCATACATGAAAAACCAACTGGTGCAGAAAGACAATGTTCACAGTGGTCTAATCCATATCTAATATTAATAGTGTGATTATGTTTTATCTGCATAAACTTTACAAAGCTTTTCAGTATATGGATCCCATAAAGGAACAGTTTAAGATTTTTTAAAATCCAGAATAAAGTGATAGACGTTTAGCCATATGGTTGGGCTTTGTGTGGGCGGGACATCATCATGCAACAGAAAGATGCAACCTACCCGCCATCTGTGTAAGATTCTCCAAGAACAGCTGAAAATGTCCCGTACAAAGCAGCCGTGACAAACAACAGCTTATATGCTGTCCGAGATGTTTGCATGAATCCTCTAAATCTTCAATTGAATTTACTTTCATGTTACAACTGTGATTAGATCATTTTTTATTTGATCATCATTAGCCTCATTATTGGCATGCATCATCCACACACCCGAGGCTCTTACCTCCTCCAGCGCCCACAGGGAGTCCACTACAGGCCTTATCTTCTTTTGTTTATAGAGACATAAGAGCTTGTCCATCACCGATTTCACGAGACTACATTTTCCATTCTTGAAGAGCAGGTTGAGGAGCGAAAACCCTGCCATAACTTTGTTCTCCTCGTACAGTTTAATAGGGTTCACCTTCTCCACCTGCCACCACTGGAGAAAAAAAAAAAAGTCCATATTAAGTGACTCATTCATTTGTGTATGTGTGTGTGAGCTTCATTAGCCATGAAATGTTTAATGGGTAGTAACAGGTTGCTGTTTTCTACAAATGTTGATAACAGACTGCATCTCTGACTCACGGATTTTGCAAAGCTGAAGAAACTCTTTGTTTCCCCAGTTACCATGTTTGACGCGCCTGAAAAGACAAAAATAAAAGCATTGCTGTATGCTGTGCAAAGGGCTGGACAGAAGTGATTGGCCATTAACAGGCAGACACGGCAAGCATGAGAGGTGAGGTGGGGGTAGAAGGAGTCGGCACCTTTTGACCCTCAGATCCGTGCAAGCATGCTTACGCACATATTCAATACAACTCAATCTAATTAAGCATTCTCCCTCTAATGTAGCTACTTGATTCATGAGGCTCGACAATAATTAACAGAGATCAGGTAAAAACAGTATAGCTGTGAGGGACAATATATTAAATGTGCAGGCTATGAAGTCAATGTTTTATTAAAAAGATCCTCATTATTGTCATTTTTGGAAATAAATGTGAACCGTTTCTTGTGGAGAATAAGAAGAGAAAACAGATACAAGTCATGTCTTTCCAAAATGATGCAAAAGCTAGGCTTAATGTAGCTTAGCATAAGCACAAGGAACAGCTATGCTAGCTACTGAATGTCCAAGAGTAACAAAATCTTAATTGAACCATCTCTAAATCGCACAAATCACCAATTGTCTTGTTTTTTTTTTTCTGTAGAACAACATAAACTTGCCTTTTTATAAAAAAGGGTCTATTTAAAAAACAAAGCTGTTTCTGCCTTTTACCAGTAATTCGTTATCAGTAGCGCCATGCAAGCTTTGCCTTTTATTGACAGATCTAAGGGTGGTATTGATCTACTCTTTCAACCCCCTTAGCATAAAAGCATAAATATTCCCGAAATGCCAAACTTTTTCCTTGCTGGTAAAATTAACTCAGACTGAGACATATCATTGAAAGTCTGACTAAAATACTTCAAATGTAATAATTAAAAATGTGAAAGTACATAACAGACAGGCATGGTAGAATTAGGTTAATTAAGTTGAAGTATTGTTCATACCATACAGGATGTAAGTTCCCAAAGGCCTCAGCAAACTCAGGCCTTTCCCAGTGTTTTCCCCACACAGACTGTCTAACACAATGTCCACTCCCTCAGGAGATATTCTGAAACACCAAAGGGAAAGAAAAAAATGGTTGATCAAACAGATGCAAAGAATTAAGTTGAGACATCATAGCAGCGAGTATCATTTAATCTGTAGTCCTTTCAATCAATCGTTTAATTTGTCAAATGTCCAAGAAATGTAAAATATGTCTTTCCCAGAGTTTCCCAGAGCATGGTTTAAAATGAATTAGAGAAAAGCAGCCATTGCTCTCATCGTTAAAGCCCCAACCACCAATATTTTACTTATTTTTCACAGTGACTCTGATCATTTATGATTCAAATAGTTTTTTGAACTCTTACAACCAGACAATCTGAGTGGATTTACTCATTACACGTTTTTTTTGACAACACATTAAAACGGCAGTCTCTGGAAAAAGACATCAAGATTCTCAACGGGGGGGATCAGCAGCTTGCTCATATCTAATAAAGCTCATCTGTTAGGAATTCAAAAGATTTGATCATTTATTCTCTGAGTCTTGTTCTGCACACACAAAAACTACAACTCACAACCCCTAGGTTTTTTTTATGACTTTGCTACAGTTCAGTTTTTTATCTTCCGCAAAGCCAACATTGCTCAGAATCTGTAATATCCTTAATGTCATGTCACAAAAATGTTCTTATTGAACACAGACTCAGCTAGACAAAACAGTCTGCCCGTGGATATGAAAGAATGAAAGGCATGTCATGAATAAGGCAGTCATAAGTCCTTACTTTCTGCCTTGTGGCCCTGGACACCTGCCTGGCTAAACTGCTTGGTGGTCTTGTGATTCCCATGGTTTTTGCCTTTTGTAAAAAGACTAATTTAAGTGTACTTTGCTCTTGATCCTGAGAAGAATGTGTGGGCCAGAGAGATGAAAGGCATATTAATCCACTACAACTAGATATGTAGGCAGAAACCATGAAGTGATCAGCACTCAGGGAAAATATTGAAACCTTATGTATTTAGTTTTGAATAATAAAGTCTTGTGTTGTGTGTTTGGTGTATTTATCCTTATCAACAGTATAGCAATTAATTACAATAAATGATTCCCAAAGCTCTCTCTGAATCTTTAATTAATAGATTCAATCATCACAGCATAGATTTAGTGAACCTGTCTCATAAAGTAGGCTACAAGGTGTTTCCTCTGCAGTACGTACAAGCTGTGTTTCTGTGCAATGAATGGAATGTGTGGCGTATCAATGCTCAGCACTAATTGGCTCAGTTGTTCCACAATGCCAGTGCAGACCTCCGCCCAGCACACACAGTGTTACTGCCGTTGCTGCTCTATCAGATGAGCTTTGTGTTGCCATAGGAACCATGGCCACACAAGACCAAATAAGGCAACCAGTAACATCTGCATCCTCCCGCAACCCTCCAAGGACAGTGAGGTCCACGTAATCACCCTCAAATACCTTTGAATATATTGTGGAAATACATAAAAAACCAATAACAACTTCACGACAAAACTGTCTGTGCTTACTTTTTGATTTCTTGCGTATAATCCACGTTTTTGTCAAAGAGGTGGGTCATCGAGTCTTTGATGGCTGCATGTTTGGAAGTTGATGCGATCCCAAACACAGTGACATGAGGTACGGTGGAGCACAGCTGAGCCACAGCTTGTCCCTGAAAATAACAAACAGTTGCAACAATTTATCAGTGCATGAGAACACAGGGCTTTACTCTAAATAGACCAAGATCACATAAAATACCATGAAACCATAGAAGAGTAGAATATCTACATTGCATTTATTATATGGAGTTGGAGTAGTAGTAGTAGTTATTTCAAGTTATCATGCACCGAGCCAACGCAGACTGACAAGACACTCAAAAACATAACAGACAAGAGCAGTAACATAATGAGAGAAAAAGAACCAATTCATCACAATACATGTCAAACAATGACAAACCAAATGTTAACATAATGTTACTCATTATACATTAGAACTACATAACTGCAATTGTTTTCATAAATCAAACATAGAGCATCATCAGGCCTCCTGTTTCAAGGCATTTAACACAAATTGAGCAATGGGAAACCCTTTATGTAAACAGGTACTGAAGTCTATCTTCAGCAGACAAAGAAAACAAATCTGGACAATTTTCAGACATCTTGGAGAAAAGCTGACTTCTTAGAGTGAGATACAAAGTATAATAGAACAAAAAGTGCATTTAATTTTCCACTTCTACCAGATCACACTTTGGATCCTTCTCTTGAGTGGAAGTGACTTGTTTCCAGTGGCAGAGAGAGGACACAACATCTCAGCTGTGCATACACCTCTGTGCTCTGGTTAGGTTAAGGGTGACATAGTGCTCCAGACTGAAAACCTTTTTGATGATCACATTATATGTTCTCAAATTTGATTTACATTAAACTTCTTCTGACCATTTGTCTTTGTTACTTTCAAATATTGGTAGTAATGTTTAGATTTGACTGACACCACACCTTCATTTATTTATCTCTACATATTGAGGACCTGCCTTATTCAATATTTTTGCAAAACCTCCCTAGCCTGATTATAATTATTTGCAAATCCCAATAGAAGATTAGTTTAGCTAACCTGGCATATTGATCAGACATTTCCATAGTCACACCATATTGCTCAGGTTTTGGGGTACATTTATGCACACCCAGAAATCAGTGCACACCTCTGCTCTGAGCTGCTTCTCATTTGGATTTTTTAAAGAAACAACATACCATCAGGCAAAAATCATTTTGCTTAATTGTTAAACTTCTTATAGCAACATTTTTTAAAGTAATAATAAATTATTTCAGCCATTTAGTCTGGTTTATGTTTCCATTTTTAGACAATGGTCAATATCAATCCATAAGAGGAAAAAAACAGTTACAATGAGAGTCGTTGTTAATGTTTTTTTTAAAGGTGGAAGTTTTCTATGGGTGTGTAAAGGTCATGTAAAAAAACAGACTTACTACAGCACCTCCTGCCGAATGAACCAACACTGACATCCCCTCTCTCAAAATTGGCCACCTCAAAGAGCATCATGTAGGCAGTCACAAAGTTCAGGGAGAAAGCAGCAGCTTCTGCAAAACTCATCTCATCTGGCATCTTGTAGACAAAATCCACTGGTGTACAAACAACCTCTGCCCAGGCACTGTAATTCACAAAAGCCATAACTCTGTCGCCTATCTGAAAGAAACATGGATAACAAACAGAGAGGAAAGAGCCATGAGTAGTTCTTGATTAATTGCAATGAATATCTTATTACTAGGTTTACAGTCCATACCTCCAGGTTAGTTGGTGCACATTTGGTTGCTCTGAAACAAACAATATTTATTCTTTTTCACATCAATATAGAGTTATAAGTCGTGACTCATCTCACCTCAAAACCTGTTGTGTTTTCAGCCACTGATTCCACTATTCCACAACATTCAAACCCCGGGACAAGAGGGGGTTTTGGAGGATTATCAATCGTCCCCTGACGTACCATCAGATCCAAAAAATTCAAGCCACTGTGACAGAGAAAACATAAACCTTGCAGTATTTTGACAGGAAATCAATATTAGAAACCATGTATCAGACTGTCTCTAACCACTGGCAGGTAATAAATAGAGATTTAGTATGTGCTGTTTAGAGGTTTGACTATTTATTTCATCATTATCAGCAGTGAGTCATAGTTACTCCCCTGTGAATACAGAACCACATTCAACAGGCATATTCAATTCAAAAAATATTTTCCTAACTGAGTTAATCATTGGCTCATCTGTATACTAATGCATCAAGGATGCTATAGCCTACATGGCATGTAAAATCACGTTATCGGATACGTATAATTTGATTTTGAATAATACAATCTAATAATGATGGCTATCTGGCAATAGTTAGTTCTTCATTTTCGCTTGGTTTAAATAAGCTCCAGCCTGCCAGTCAACCTCCTGTTCTGGTAAAGACCTGTGGCTTCAACACTGCGAATTTTCTAATAAGATGGTTTGTTTAGGCTACACATTTATTAGAAAATACTGTAATGTGCATGTAATAAGGAGGCCACAGCAGAACACAAACCATAAGCACATATGAAAGAAACAGATAATTTCATTTTTACCATGCTTTGACGCGGATCTTTACTTCTCCCTTCTGCAGCTCGGGCATTGCCTTCTTGGTTACACGGAGTTTGTTCAGACCTCCAAAACCTGACAATATCACCGCTCGCATTTCTTTGGCATCGCTGGACGATTCCACGTTCTCTTTGCACACGTTTTTATTTATCATGAACTCGGTTTCCTCTGTCATGTGTGCTCCTTCTTTCGCCATTTCGGAGACAAGCGCCGCACTGGCTCTGCTTTTCCGATCTTCCTCGGGGCTCAAAGTGATGCGGTGTGCATAGACAGGCACTGCATGGATGGGTGGTTATCCACGCAGGGGCCTGAAATGTTACTGTTTAGTCTACTATTTTATAATAACGCGGAACTTCGGTCAGATAGCTCAGTTTTCCAAAATAAAGTCACAGAGATGCTGATAATTCAACACAAGTTGGTCATTTGAAAAATCTGTAATGAATAACACTTTCTTTGCAGAGCTTTCGCCTGTGTCTGGCTATGAAGGGCGCCATCTGCTGGTGAAATGCGTTCAAAACTTTTTAAATATCGAAGTCTAAGAATGCAACAGTTTCGCACTATTGGATCCACCATGGCAGAGAATAGTAAAACCGAAAACGTCAAACCAAAACAAGAAACTGAAAAAGGATTAGGTAGACTCAAACTGGTTGATCTGATTCATTTACCACAAGCAAATCCTTCAACATCACAAAGCAATCTAATTTCTTCATGTAAAACAGTTCATTGGTTTGGTTTTTACAGTTTAGAAGAAAATGTAACATTAATTGTATTCCAAAACATTTTTGAAAATCTTATTATTCCAGTCATTAATCAAGCATATAATTACCTCCCCCCCTCCATTACTCCTTCATTGTCCTGTCCTCATCATTTGTTTTTTTGTTTTATTGTTTTATGTTTTTGTCAAAGTGTCTTTGAGTTTTCAGAAAATCACTATATAAAACCAATGTATTATCATTATTATTATTATTATTATAATGAGATAACATTTTCTGGTTTCAGTTTGTAAAATACAATGATTTGCTGCTTTGTGATTTTTTACAGTGAAGTTATACTTCATACAGGGTAGCAGAGCCAGGCAGGGAAGAACAGCTTTGTGTATGAGTGCACGTCTGAGTGTGTGTGTAAATAGTACCCCTGTTGTTTGTTACACGACATGCTTCTGCTACACACATAAAGCAGTGTGAAATCACACACTGGAACACTGATACAGTCTACACTGTTAGGTATTAGCAGAAAGATGTTGTGACAGTGGAGCTTTGTTTTCGCAATCTGACAAATGTAGAGATGAGCCCTTTACTTTTCTTTTTTCTTATTCACAAAAGTGTGCGGGAGAAAGCCGGCGCTTCTATTGCTATTTGCATTTTAAGGCATAGATCACATGATTTCAAGGTCCGTGTTCTATCCAATGGCTAGTAATCAATTTAAAATCAGTAAAGTTATATGGGACATTAACACATATATTGCGATAAAAATCTCGGTGACCCTGCCGAGTGATGTCCTGCGTTAAGATTTGTTTTACAATTTATAAATAGAGTCTGTAGCATTTGTTCTTGATATGGGATGGTTGTCTTTATTACATCCACGACTGCTTACAACTTCCCCAGCACCATTATAAACCCTGTTAAGACCCAAACATTGGGGAGAAATGGTCCTTTTAACAAGTCATTGTGTGCGTACTTTAGCCTTCATTTAATATATTATCTCAAGAGGAGCATACATCTCGCTAGTTGAAAAAATACACTTCTTAAACATTTCACACTGTTAATGGTAACTGGCAGAGTCAAAGTCCTTATGCCTTTTACTACTGACACAATTATAATAGAAAACATGAACTACACAATATCCTCTTTAAACGTTTACATTCATAGGGAGAACACAGGAAAAGGTTTTTGGAAAACAGTCAAAGGACTCTCAACTATTTTGGAACATCAGTAAATATTCGTAGTCCATGCATTCCTTGAATCTCTTCCTTGAGTGCCTGTGGAGGAAAAAAACACAACAGCTGATGAGAACATTTCTTAAAAACAAAACAACACAAGCAGTATAAACACCCACAATTGCTTCTTAAGTATTACACAACATCTGAAAAATATCACAAGCAGACGAGGTGCTGAGCACACAATGTGTTTGAAATTTACCTGATTTACTAACTGGTGTTGCTGAATAGTCCTTTTTCCTTTGAACTCACTGGACTCGATGTGGATCTCATACATGGCCCCACAACCACCTGAACACAGCATAGACCCAATGTCATTTTTTAGGAGCATGCGTGTCATCATCTGGTTTAATTATTACTATGAAGGCTGTATCAGAAGCATTTAACATCTGGAATATAACCACTGGACTAGACGGAACAGCCACAAACACACAAGTAATAAAAAACAATAAAAAGAGAGAGAGTCCAGTCCAGTAAGTCAACATCTGGGGATCATTAAAGATGATCTTAAACTCCATGAAGCTGGTTACTGACGGACTTGATTCACCTGAGATATCCACAACTTTCAGCGAAGAGGCTGACGGAAACTTCTCCTTCAGTATCGTGGCGATGCGGACCTCTCCGTCCGTCTGTGTGGACAGACATCTCTGCACACTGCCAGACACAGCAGCCTGAGGACACAGAAACGAGTATGTGTGTGTTGTTGTTACATGAAGTCTAAGAGCTGTGAAAGATTGACCCTAAAAAAAAAAACCACACGTGTATTTACTTGATTGGTGCGGGAAACCCGAAGAGCAGAGATGACGGTGCTGGTCAGGCTCCGTCTGAAAGCGAACATTGTGGAAAACACTGAAAATACAAAATCCACACTGTGTCGTTTAATAACAAGTCATGTCCTCAAACAGCTTCGTCGCAAATATATGACGTCACACATCCGGGTGCTCGACTCCCGGCAAAAGACTGTAAAATCAGGGATGGGCAACAGCGAGGGCCACATTCATTTAACTCTCACTGCCAGGGGGCCACATTGTGGTTTACAGTCAATTATGTCTCAAATTTAACTCAACATATACCAGTGATCAAATATTATTATGGACATATTTCTGGTTTTCATGGTTTCATGGCAGATTTTGTCATGTTTTCTTCATGATTCCAATTATCTGATATGTCAAAATTGACCTGAGGGCCACACTGCAGTTGCCCACCCCTGCTGTAAATATTAATATTATTTTCACAATATGCTCCTGGCATAAGATAAAAAAAGTTAGCAACAAAAAATAGTTATAATGACTTAATACAACAAACCTGATTTACACAGCAATGTTTAATTAGTATTGGAATGGAATTCAAATTCAATTTGTTTTTTCATGTTTAATATGATTTGACCCAAACACAGCGTCATGTAGGCTGTGGATATTCTGGTAAAACTGTCTCATGTACACCTTATTTACAGTGTACTCTTGTGTATTTAAAAGCTACCTTTTTTTAAACTTGATATTTGTTTAACAATTTAATCTTCTATAAAAGTCTGTCCAATAACAGAACAACAGGACAGTCAAAGTCTCTTTTTTAAAGTACAGATTGACATTTCCATGGAAGGACGGTATGAATTAAAAGGCTTATCTCACTCTGCAGGTTTTGGACCCCTGCATAAATGGAGGCAGAGAAGCAATTAGTGGCTGTTGACAGTGGGCTTTATTGCCTTTCACACCAGGCCTGAGCTTTGTTTGTGCACAAAAATTATTGCCCCAACACAAAGCCACACAGCCAGCGAGGAGGCCACCCTAATGTCAGAATTTAACCCATAGAGCTGACTGGTGTCATGGTTGCTGACATCACTACCCTTTAAGACAGCAGGCTAGCAGAGCGTCTGAACAGTTGTAGAGATGGAAAGCACCTCGTACTTCACACTGACTCTGATGGTTCTCTTCCTCAGCTGGACTTGTTATGCTGATGAGGATGCAAAGGGCCTCTCCTGCCCAGAAAACCAGGAAGGTTTCGACGGCTCTTGCTACGAGTTTGTGGGTCTGCAGCGATCCTTCCTCAGTGCCCAGGGATGGTGTGAGCGAGGCGGAGGACACCTAGCCTTCATTCTGAATGATGAAATCCAGCAGTTCCTTCAGAAGCACCTGGAGCAGGAGAAGGACTGGTGGCTCGGGCTGGCCCCTGCAGCTCCAAACCTCACACTGGACACTGCTGCCACTGAGGGTGAGAGGCACAGGGACAGGGTAACCAGATAGGACACTGCATGGCCGCTAATAGTTTTAATTTATTATGTGCTAAGTGCCAGATGTAATTAGTGCTAGATGTAATAAAAGTGTGCAAAAGGTGTTAAAAGTCATTCAGAATAGACTGTAAATGTCACTTTAACCTTTCATATCAGCAACAAATATTTTAAGTACTCTGCTGCACATATATGAACAACGACTTTGATTTATCTGTTAACAATAAAACTATTTAACTAAATGAATATTAGAGTAAAGTAGGTCAGAAATGAAGATAATCCCCTCAGCTGCTATCTTAGTAGGCGGCTTGGATGTCCATTGTATAGATGTGTAAAATGTTTGTTTACTAAGAACTGGCACAACTGGATATCTCCCTCCAGCAGCAGGTGCTGGAGGGAGATATCCGTCATTCATTTGTACTTCAATAGCCCTGCTGTCAAGTAGCCTGATTTACAAATGTGTGTTATTCCCTTGATAGGGAATGCGTCTTTATTGTTCTTTCACCTTTTCACCAGCTAAATCTATTGTTTTGTTGTTTGTGATTTGTGAATTACATCCTGGAATTCATCCTCATAGAGAATGACAGTGTTTTATGTAACAGTTGTTGTTCTTACATCTTTGCTTGTATAAAATGATTCAGACAAATCTAATTCTACTGCTTTTCCCCAGGTTCCCTTGCATGGCTTGATGGCTCAGATGTCAGCTACAGTAACTGGGTGAACATGCCAAATGCTCAGGCAGCCTGCGGACACATCCTGAAACACTCAAGCTTCCAATGGGAAGCAGCGGGGAACTGTAGTCAGGAACTTAACTTCATTTGCCAGTTTGGTAAGCACTCTGTTCCCTCAATAAATAAAATAATTACAATGAACCTATGTTGTGCTTGATCCTCTTCTATGACTGATGGTTTTTTTCCCCTCCAGAATCTGGGAAATCAATTGCGTGTGATGGCCAAAATGCAACACTGCAGTGTGGTTCTGGTCAGGTTATAGAGATAGTTGACAGCTTCTACGGTCGCAAAACCATCCATTACTGTCGTTCCAAACTCACGGGCACACCCACATCATCCCAGGAGGAGTGCAGCTGGATCGATGTGACAGATTCTGTTTCAGGTATCAACTATTCTACAACAAGCCGGTTGTATGTTTAAACAAAAACGATGTTTAACAGGTCTGTTTAGTCTTTATTTACTTGAAAATATTATTGACTTAACCTGCCCCCTGGTTCTCTGGTAAGAATGATGGACATTTTGTTTTAACAATTGGCTTTGTTAGAGCTGCTTTCATGGAGAGAAAGAAAAATACTAAAATTACCATAAATGATGCTTTTGTTAAATAAATGTTTGAAATAATAAAAGAAACGTTGCCCTTTTTAAGGAGTACATTTTCTGAAAAGACTGAGAAATCCCCTGCTAGAGGCTGTATACTGTAGATGGGCTGTGGTTTAAATCTACACTCACGTAGATGAAGTCTTGAATTATGCTGGATCGTGAAATAACTAAGGAAATGTTTCTCCTTAGTTTATCATAATAAATCAAATAGTTGAAAGATAAAGCCTCATTATAGAGATATTGAACCATCAGTAAGAATAGTTAAGCCCAATAGAATGATATCTAAACAGTTCCATCCATTTTAAATGCACTTTAACAATATTTTCTCAGCCTCCTAATTAATCCATATAATCTGCAAATTTGTATTTTATGCTTTTGTCCTTCAAATCCAGCTCATTGCCATGGACTGCAGGCTTGCCAGGCTCCAGTTGATCTGAGCGCTTTTGGTGAACCATGTCCTATGCTGAGGAGTTACCTCTCTGTGGAGTACAACTGCAAAGATGGTTGGATGCACATTTTGTCCTTTATTTCCATTATTAAAATCCACAGATATTTTGTCACTGAAAAATGACTATATATCATTATTATTACATGTACAAATTAATAAATTTAGCTGTATGCATATAGGTATTGTTGTATTGCCTTACAGAGACATTGTACTCTGTGTCTTGTTCCCAAAACAAAGTTGTTTGTCAAATGTTTGCCTCACTACTGTACTGTACTGAGTGAAATGATATCAACTTCATTATAAGAGAAGGACGCATTATTGTGTGTTTAACAATACTGAAGCAAAGTTTCAAACTAATGTTCATTTCCCTCTCAGGAATCCACCTGTCGATGAGCAAGCTAGCGGCCGTCTTTGATGATGTCACCTTCACTGTGAAGTGGCTCCTTCAACCTTTTCAGGGAAACCTCACATGCACAGTGAACGCTGGAGACGGCCATATAGTCGATCCATACAGCCCAGAGCAGTGAGAATGATGACCTTGTGTTTAATAAGACAGACAGACAGACAGATTGATTGATTGATTGATTTTCTTATTTAAGACTCATAAACCTTTTAATTAAATTTCTCGCAGGATGGAGAGCAATGTTATGCACAAATACAGTCAGCCTGGTGTTTTCATGGTCGGTGTGGAGTGCACCACCAGTGACTGGCACGTTACAGCTCAGAAAGCCATCACCATTCAGGAGCGCATTGGAGATTTTGGTGTCATAAAGTGCAATAGCAGGAATATGTCAACAGATGGCTCTAAATGCAATGTGCTGCATGATCGACCTGTTCAGATCCAGGTTGTTGTAGAGGCTGGTGAGTTAGTTTTCACACTACAGGGGATAAAAAGAATAAATAAATACAAATATATAACTAAATAACTATAACTTTATTTTTTTGTGTAAATAGGTACTAATGTTTCTTACAAAATTCAACATAAAGACCACGTGGTTGCAAACTTATCTGTGGACAGAGGGATCATACCACACAACATTACCTGAGCCAAAATGTGGTTACGAGGCTCGGACATGGCTGCCACAACCTGACTCTGACTGCCTCAAACAAGGTCACAGCCCACACTGTGTCCTCCCATCTGGAGCTGTGTCTGCTGGAGCCTGTTGAAGGCCTGAAGGCCTCGGTGATATCAGAGGAAGATAAGTGTCCTGACTCTACTGATCTCATTGTTGGTGTTTCATTGGAGCGAGGAGCTCCTGCAGAACTGCTCTTTACTCTGACTGGAGCAAAGGACAACATCTCCGAGACCAGGGATATGCTAAATGCTAGCTTACAATCTTTTACATTCTCTAGCACACTTGAAGGTACTTGAAGTTGAAGCTGTACTGTATATAGAATAAAGACAGTCAGAGTGTAATACATATGCTTAATACTCCTAAACACAAAATGTTTTTTTTTCAAAGGATTGTTGAAGGTAAATGTAAAAGCCATGAATGCTCTTTCCACCTTTGATGTGGACGTGGACTTGGAGAACATACTTCAGGCTTGCCAGAATTGGTCTGACTTTTCATCAGATGAGCATGAAGACAGCGTACGTAGCAGATTAGCTTCAAACATGTATACAGTAGTTGTCTGTGTCTTTTCCAGCACAATGACTATGTTTTCACCTACAGAATCAAAGTGTCGAGGAATCTAATAAATTGAAAATGATTGTGACTCCAGACTCTGTGGTTGACTACACTCAGAGTGTCACACTGAGCGTAACTGGAACTGAATCATTACCAAGAAAAGGACTCACATTTGAATGGAAATGTAGTAAGTACAGCAGTTAATGAACCACTGAGAATTGAAATGAGATTTAGTTAGAATTTAGTTATTCAAGTTATTATGGTCAGTGAACACAGTTAAACTATTGTGACTCTGAGGGCCTTTTATGTACACTTGGTGCCCTGTTTTAACTTATACTGATTGGAATTATGCTCAGGATATAAATAATGCATTCGCCATGGCAAACATGATTTTTTTTAGCTGCTTCTAAACAAATTTTCAGCAGTATCTAGGTTTTGGATTCTTTGATATAAAGTGTGTCTTTCCAGCCATATGTCTATGTCTGTACCGACTGAATTACCACAAAAATTACATATCTCTGTAATGTCTCAGGCTGAATGGATGCTTATATCTTTTTTTACACAGCTGGATATAGTTTCCTCATCTGATCACAGTTTATGAAAGATGAGCATGTCAATTTATCCTTAGCAATGTCCAACTTTGACTTTCAGTACAGCAGAACTGGTGTCAGCCTTTCAGTTATCCTAGCATAATTAGTTTTTAATTAAAAAACATTATCAGCCATTATCTATATTATAACCAACAAAAACTAGGATAGTGGCTTCTCTAGATTTGTTTAAGCTGGATTTGATGTTTACAGGTCAAAAACAACTTGAGCTGAACTTACAGTGTCAAACAGATGTTGATTCAATTGTTTTCTTGTCTAATTTTGGAACGGAAGTGTGTTTCTGGCTGCTTTGAGTTCTTGCTATTCTCTCCATGCCTTGCACATATATATATATATATATATATATATATATATATATATATATAAATATCACATGAAGTCTCCTCCAAGAATCGCCACCTTAACGTGGTGGAGGAGTTTGCGTGTCCCAGTGGACCCAGGAGCTGTGTTGTTGGGAGCACTAGCCCCTGGTAGGGTCTCCCAAGGCAAAGTGGTCTCAGAGGAGGGGCCAGACTAAGAGCGGTCCAACAAATACTCCTATGAAGCGGCATACATTGAAGCAAGCCACCTCGCCTGGAAGAGGGAAACCGGGGCACCACAAAAACCCGGGTGTAGGAGGAGTTCGGGGAGGCTTTGGAGAAGGACTTTCGGTTGGCCTCAAGGAAGTTCTGGCAAACCGTCCGACGGCCCCGGAAGGGAAAGCAGGGCTTGCCCCAGGCTGTTATCAGCAGGGGTGGAGAACTGCTGAACCGAACTGGGGACATTGTTGGGCGGTGGAAGGAATACTTTGAGGAACTCCTGAACCCAGACAACAAGTCCTCTGAAGAGGAGGCAGAGTCTGAAGATCTAGGGGAAGCCTTACCACTAACCTTGGCAGAGGTCACTGAGGCAGTTAGAAAGCTCCTCAGTGGCAAGGCGCCAGGTGTGGATGAGATTCACCCTGAGATGCTAAAGGCTCTGGACATTGTTGGGCTGTCTTGGCTGACACGCCTTTTCAATCTGGGACAGTGCCTGTGGAGTGGCAGACCGGTGTGGTGGTTCCCATTTTCAAAAAGGGGGACCGGACGGTGTGCTCCAATTGTCGGGGTATCACACTTCTCAGCCTTATGGGGAAAGCTTACTCTAGGGTGCTGGAAAGGAGGCTCCGGCCGATTGTCGAACCTCGGATACAGGAGGAACAATGTGGATTTCGTCCCAGCCGTGGGACAGTGGGCCAGCTCTTTACCCTCGCAGGGCTTCTTGGGGGAGCATAGGAATTTGCTCATCCAGTCTACATTTATTTTGTGGATTTGGAGAAGGCTTTTGACCATGTCCCTCAGGGGATCATGTGGGGGGTACTGCGGGAATATGGGGCCCCGGGGCCATTGGTACGAGCCATCCAGTCCCTGTATGATCAAAGTGGGTGCTGTGTCCGCATCCTTGGCACAAAGTCAGACACATTCCCAGTGCGTGTTGGCCTCCGCCAAGGTTGCCCCTTGTCACCGGTCCTGTTTGTGATCTTCATGGACAGGATCTGAAGGAGCAGCCAGGGGGAGGAGGGTTTCCAGTTTGGGGACCTCAAAATCTCGTCTCTCGTCTCTTTTTGCAGATGACGTGGTTTTGTTGGCTTCCTCAAGCTGGGACCTCCAGCAGGCATTGGGGCGGTTTGCAGCTGACTGCAAAGCGGCTAGGATGAAGGTTAGCACCTCAAAGTCCGAGGCCATGGTTCTCTGCCGGAAAAAGGTGGATTGCTCTCTATTTTGGAGTGAGTCCTTGCCCCAAGTGGAGGAGTTCAAGTATCTCAGGGTCTTGTTCATGAGTGAGGGTAGGATGGAGTGTGAGATTGACAGACGGATTGGCTCGGTGTCAGCAGTAATGCAGGCGTTGTGCCGGACCGTTGTGGCGAAGAGGGAGCTGAGCCTGAAGGCAAAGCTCTCCATTTACCGGTCAATCTACGTTCCAACCCTCACCTATGGTCATGAGCTATGGGTAGCGACCGAAAGAATGAGATCGCAGATACAAGCGGCCGAAATGAGCTTCCTCCGGAGGGTGGCTGGACTCAGCCTTAAAGATACATTCGGGGGGGAGCTCGGAGTAGAGCCGCTGCTCCTCCGCATTGAAAGGAGCCAGTTGAGGTGGTTTGGGCATCTGTTAAGGATGGCTCCTGGACCCCGGGGCAGACCCAGTATGCGCTGGAGGGATTATATATCCTGTCTAGCCTGGGAACGCCTCAGAATCCCCCAGGAGGAGTTGGAAAACGTTGCTGGGGAGAGGGAAGTCTGGGTTGACTTACTGCGCCTGCTACCACCGCGACCCGACCTCGGCTAAGCGGAAGAAAATGGATGGATGGATAGCATAAAATGAAGTGTTTCATGATATTTGCCTTTGTGTAACGTCTGTGTGTAATCTTTTTATTGTTGAATTGCTAATTCTAATGTTTTTTTTTTATGCAGAAGGAAATTGCAAATGCAGAAACAAAACTAAAGAAGAAACTCACATCATCCAAAAAGATTGCCTTCCAGATCCATTTGATGTTTTTAAATATGTTTCAACTGTGAAGAGACCAGCCTGGTTCAGGGAGTGGGTTGACCTTGCTTCAACTTCAGCTTGTATAACAGTCACTCCAAAGAAATTCACAGATGTAACCATCAGGTAAAAGCGACAGAAAGGGGGGGGGGGTCTTTAAAGCTTCACATGCTTCTTAAAAGAAAAGGTAACCATGCTAACATGTGGGATTTGGCCCACATACTGGTAAAGAAACTGCTATAAAGATTGAATAATATCACATAGGTCATAGGTATAGATTTCCTTTTTTTTCTTCTTGCAGTTGTGATAACTGTGCTTCAATTAACACAAAGGACCACATAAGGCTTAGACTGACCTGCACAGCTACTTGCCCGGACGTAGCTTGGTATATTGAGGACCCTGAACCTTTGAGTGTGAGTCTGGAACAGCACTTTAACTTTAACAGTCAATTTATGAAACAGTTATTAACTGATGACTTATTATTCCAAGGGTGTCCTCAAAAAATGCTACTCTGAAGCAGGAACTAAGCCTCCTGTAGAGAAGCAGGATGGCAATACTGAATATGTTGTACACAGCAAATATCTGAAGATTTCAAGGGACGCTGTGCATAACATCAGTGTGATTGCTTATGGTGGGTTTTCATCACAAAGTCTTAACGTAGTTTAGTATTTTTTTAAATGGTGCTTTTCTTCAAAATTGTATTTTGCTTTCTAAGATGAATACAGTTTGACCTCTTACTGTTTAGGAAAAAGACAAAATAAATCACAAAACATTGTATTTGTTTATTTTACAGGCAAGAAGGATCCAGGCTTTGTCAAGTTCACGCTACCAATTCCAGGTCCTGATCCAACTGAACCAGCAACAAGTGATGCACCTGCAGACCCCACCACCCTCTCTTGTAGCATCTCTCCACCTTCAGGAACAGTGCTGGATGCTTTTGACATAAGCTGTAAAACAAACACTTTCTGCTCTAAGGGGTGTTTCTATTGCTTCAAAACAGACACAGGTGAGATTTTAATAATACTTTTTAGAAACTTAGATAAACAGGAGAAAGAAAGTAACAAATGGAGCTGGATGATGATGAATCAGTTCGACTCACACTAAAAATAGACAGATCAAGTCGTTACAGTTGAAATACAGACGGTGTATTTAGCATCTAATACAGACTTATTGCACATAAATGGTGTTAATAGGCGATTTCATTCTTCTTTTTAAAGTATTCCGTTAAAAAAAATGACCTTCACTCTTACAAATAAATCACTTTAGTCTATTTTAACATTCATTATAATAATGAAGACAGTGTAACCTTTGAATACTGTCTTGTGCTAAAAGAAATTGTGCTTGAGAATAATTTAAATGATTAGATTTTTATTATACCTGTTCACAGATAAACAATGATTTAAACACCTTAATTGTCTCTCTTGTCTTAAAGGCGAACCTCTGCGCTGCAGTAATACAAACGAGGTGAAATCTGTCTTCCTGCCTCTCGGGGACAAAAACAACAATTACAGTTTGTCTGTTGTTGTGACCATGCAAAATGAAAATGAGAAAGCCACAACAACCATCTCCACTCAGGTTTGTCATCTTAATATGATATGATGTACTTTATGTCCACTTGGGGAAATTTGTCTTGGACTCAAAGCACTGACAAACATTCAGTTAATTCTTGTAATCAGGCGTCTATAGGAGAAATAAAGAGGTTGAGAGAAATTAAGAAGAACCTGTCAATGACAAGGAAATAGTATGATTCAGAGTGACTGTTATTGATCCTATACATGTAGGTACTGACGAGCAGATCCAGCTCCTCTGTGGAGGCTCTCACATCTGCGGTGGAGGACTCTGTGAGTCAGTTGGAGCAGCAGGGTCTGCTCTCTGGTGAGGCACTGGGACAAATGTTTACCTCAGTATCTGACATGCTGAATACAGAGCTCATCCAAGAACAGAAGGATGCGAGGAGGAAGGTAACAGTATGACTGTTACAACTTGTGTTGTGGATGATTGGAGAGAAACGTGTTGTTAATCAGCGCTTCCTTCTCTTTCAGCTCAGAGAGAAAATGTTGACCAAAATGACCACAGTTCTTCTGGACTCACCCAGCAACACGACTCAGGGCGTGCAAGTGACGGCCAGAGCTGTGGCTGGACTCACCCAGCGACCAGACGAGCTCAGTGTTAATGCTCAAGTACAGTACAGAATATCAATATAGCAATATGAATAAATCAAAGAGTTGAACATTTAAAAGAAAATACAAAAATGAACCTTTTTTATGGAATAATGCATGAACATGTAGTGCAGAGATTTGTAAATAGACCAGAGCAATACTGACAAATATACACAAAATGTAAATGTCAGTAAATAACAGTGTTAGACTCATGATATCTTTGGTTTATGAAGAGGTGTATAACATTTTATGTTAATGGAAAAAAAACGAGAGTGCAAATGAGCTTTTAACGACATGTAAGAACAACAACAACATGAAAAGCTTTTGAAAAAGGCAGCGACACGAACAACAGGCCATTTAAAAGTAACTCCCAATGTGTTGTTGTTAGTTTTGTGCATATTCAACTTCAACATTATTTGTCCCCATAGGGCAATTTTGAAAGTTGTACAAACACCACTTTGTTTTATTTCCTCCCTCCATCTCTAGGAAGAAGCTGGGTCATTGCTAGTTGACCTCAGCTCCTCCCTCAACATGATCAGTGTTAATCAGGACATCAGTGATGAGGATGATGATGATGGAGAGGTTTTGCAAGCAGCTACACCCATAGTTGAAGCAGCCAGTAATATTTTGAATGTTTCATCAAATGTGAGTACAAAACCATCACTAATGTTGATAAATGTGTTTTCCCTCAGTTCACTGTTGTCTATACCCAACAACGTAAATTGTGTTTTCCCCCAGAAAAAAGTCTCAGATTTTCTTCTTACTGGATAAACAACGTTCAGAGTGCTATGCTGAATAATAGGAAGCTGAATGGAGAACCTGCCATTATTGATTCTGGACACATCAGTGTGTATGTCAACAGGTAAGAGACGTCTGATGCTGGAACCTTTACATGGGATTAATCAGGGTTTGCTGTTAAGATCATTTTCTTATTCTGCTTCCTGTAGAGTGTCTCCAGGAAAGATGCAAATGCAGGATATTAATGTCCAGAAAAACAGCTCCTCCAGATTTTCTTTCCCAACGCTGCCTGCTCATATTGTCTCTCCAGATGAGCCAGTGGATGTCAGGGTAAGTCTGTACAGCATCGGAGGAAATAAATGTTTAGCTCCATGATGCTTAACATTATAGTGGCCCTATTAGTGTGTTCTACTTTACAAACTCAGATTTGGCAAGCATTATGTAAAATGTTACTTACTGTGTAACAACCATGAAATGTTAATAAAAACAATAGCAAACTTGTTGATACAATTTGCTCTTTTGATGATCTGTCACTTGAGAATGATTGAATAAGAAACTTTGGCATAATATGTACAGTTATGAAATGTACTTCTGCCTAGATGATGAGTTTTGAGACAAATCCATATTCCTGGAAGGGGGAAAACATCACAGGGACTGTAGGATCGGTCTCTCTGACCAGATTGAACGGCTCTGTCATTCCTGTAAAGAACTTACCTGAAGAGATTGAGGTAATATTTGCTTCATAAAAATGTTGAGCCACTTTATTTTTCGATGAAGATTGCAGGCTGTTCTCAACAACATCTGCCCTGCCCTGTCAGATTCTCTTGCCGAGGCTTGATGTCGGGCAGGAGAACAGCACAGTCCTAGACCTTGCCAATTTCAGCACATTAATAATTGACGTCCCGTCGCCGGATGTAACACTGGTGCTGAAAATGGAGCCGTCTGAAGACATTTCCTTCCTGCTATTCCTGGGGTACAAAGATTATCCAAATGATGAGAATTATGTTGCCAAGACTCGTATGCCTCTTGAGAATTCCAAAGAAGGTAAGTTTAAATCAGTCGGTCTTTAGTTATTCAGCACACATAACATGTTATCACAGGCCTTGTCATATTATTTACAGAGACCCATCATAAGTCCACCATGATGAGCAAAGCACTTTGCAACATTTAGCAAGTAACAGTGACAACAATAAGCAGCCTTTTAACAGGGAGAAACTTTGAGCAGAACCAGACACATGTTGTACAGTCATCTGCTGACATTTTTGGGGGATGGCAGGAAGAGACATGGAAAAATATGAACAAACAGAGAAACAACAACAACAAATAAAAACAGAATTATGGCTGCACTTTGAGTAGTCATGGTAACAGTATGATTGGTAATAGCAGGAATAGCAAAGTATGTCCATCCCCTGATCAGTCAATTTGAGCAATTAAAACTACAATGACGGGGCGCTGGTGGCGCAGTGGTTAGTGCGAGCACCCCATGTGTGGAAGCTTTGGTTTGAATTCGACCTGTGGCTCCTTTCCCACATGTCATTCCCCACTCTCTCTCTCGCCCTGATTTCCAACTCTATCCACTGTCCTATCGCTCCATTAAAGGCACAAAAATAAATGTAATTTTTTTTTTTAAACTATGATGACAATAGGACTAATTATTTTAGTTATAGCTTATAAGATTTGGAGTCAAGAAGCTCTCAGATTCACACTTAACATGTATAATAAGGATTGTATATCTGAGAGTGATATTAATAGTTGTAGCAGTTTGAGTCAGGCATGCTTAAAGCAGCAGGAGACAAGACAAGAGAACTTAGGAACTCTCAGGAAGATATAAGGTTTGTAACTTCAATCATACACGAGGATTTAAAGTTAAAGACATGCAGTAGTATAATATGGATGCATACAGATAGAGAGAAAGGGAGTGACAGGGAGAGATAGGAGCTCAGTGTGCAGTCTGAGCCTATCACAGCATAACTACCAGATTCACTGGATGTTGCATTTATATAATGGCTGAAAGCTGAATTCAAACTACACTCAGGAGAGGGGAAATAGACTGTTTTACATTAGTTCTCCAGGATTGATAAATATGTATCAATTCAAGTATCTTTTTCATTACCTCTAGGATTGTCATACTGCAGAAACTGCATGATGATCACATGCAGAAATCTCTGCATATATATCCATTGTTAGTGTAGTTTCCTTTTGAATTTTAACTCTTTTTTTGGATTAAAGGTTTTCGTGTCACAGTCTGTGTGCTTGTCATAAAAAAGGAAAAATTGTCTCACAGGACCAATTTGCTCATAATGTTGTGTTGATCACATCCCTGGTTCTTCAAGTGTCTGGCTATAAAACTGCTATGTGAATGTGTGACAGTGTCAAGAAGACGCTGGAACAACATAACCATTTTTAACAAACTGATAAGGGTGGCTAGTTACACACATGTAAGCCTGCATATTAATGTTTGTCTGATTTCACCTCAGAGGAGAAATATACCTGGGTGCTGAGTCCCAAAGACAGAACAGCAGATGTTGGAGTGCACTACCTCGTCATGAAGCCCATTGTGGAGCCAGGGGTCAAATCCCTCAATGCTACTGTCAGTGTGGTTTCCATTGCTGCCCAGTGTAAATACTGGAATGAAACTGGATCCACTTGGAGTGAAGATGGTTGCAGAGTAAGTTAAACAAAATCCTCCACAGCGGTTGCATCAATACTTCTTTAAAAAAATAAAGTTTGACTGGGCTACTTTTCTTATCTTTTTCTTTTGTACAGGTCGGACCGCTCACAAGCCCACTGGTGACTCAGTGCCTCTGTAACCACTTAACTTTCTTTGGCAGCTCTTTCTTTGTCATGCCCAACTTGGTGGACGTGTCACGCACTGCAGAACTTTTCGCAACATTCACTAACAATCCTGTGGTGGTTTGTTTTGTGGGCGCCATCTTTGCTGCTTATCTTCTGGTGGTTGTGTGGGCACGCAGGAAAGACATTCAGGACTCAGCCAAGGTCATTATCACTGAAGTATTTATTTAACAAACTATAATGTTGATTAGAAACTCAAGACCCTTTATGACGTGTCATTCAGACTTTGCTACTCACATGTCAATTAAAATCTACTTAGTATCAGCAAAATCGAACATTTAAGAAATCTGCATTTAAGACCTACTATTTCATATTAGAAGTAATGTTATGTTTGCCCTGACAATGGAACCATTTTAATTTTCAGATTATATGTTTTATTAGTAGTACAATATTTAAGGAAGTTCAATCATTTCTCTTTTATTACTGACAAAAAAATACATACAGTATCAGTATTTGTATGAATTCCCTTCGAGAACAAAACGTGACACGTTAAGTGTGAGAGAGATCATTTAGTGTAAATGTTACAACATGCATGGTCTGTGATTAAATGCTTTTCATTGTTTGAGTTTTTTCTTACATTTGACACTTAGTTATGTAACATTTACTTCAGGCCATTCATTTACCAGATCAAAAAAGAAATCTTGGAAACAGTTTCTTTATTATCACTTGCAGGTGAAGATAACAGTGCTTGAAGATAATGACCCCTTGGCTGAGTACCGTTATTTGCTGAATTTGAGCACAGGGCATCGTCATGGTGCATCCACCTCCTCTCAGGTTAGTGATTCCTGCTAGAAAGTCCCAAAAATATATTTATGGTTCTGACTCTTGATGTACCGTTTTTTGTTGTAGGTGACGATAACTCTGCAGGGCACGGAGGGAGAGAGTGAGCCCCACCACCTGACAGACCCTGAGAAGCCCGTGTTTGAGAGGTGTGGGGTGGACATGTTTCTGATGACCACTCACTTCTCCCTCGGGGATCTGCAGAGCATCAGAATGTGGCACGACAACTCGGGAGCACATCCTGCGTGGTATGGAGTTAAAAGTCAAGACGGGATGACACCACCAGATTGCTGTGATGCTTTAAGTACAGAAGATAATTGTGTTATTTATGAGCAGGTATGTCAACAAAGTCATGGTGCAGGATCTGGAGAGCGGTCAGAAATGGCACTTCCTGTGTAACTCCTGGCTGGCTATAGACGTTGGGGAGTGTACACTTGACAAAGTCTTCCCAGTAGCAACAGAGATGGATTTGAAGAGGTTTAGGTAAGAGCAGCAATTAAACAGGTTACAACACATTACCAAGGGATTTGACATACTCATGTATTATGTTGATTATATGTTTATTCTTCTTGAATTTCTGGTTTCGTTTTTTCTCGATACTTCTAGTAACCTGTTCTTTATGAAGACCGCAAAGGATTTCCGTGACGGCCACATTTGGTTCTCTGTGATCAGTCGGCCCCCCTGCAGCACTTTCACTCGTGTGCAGCGAGTCTCTTGCTGCTTTTCCCTGCTGCTGTGCACCATGCTGACCAGCATCATGTTTTGGGGTATCCCCACTGACCCCTCTGAGCAGACAATGGACCTTGGTAGGAAATAAAAAGTTTTCAAATGTCTTCAGAGTCAACATCATTGAAATGTAAAATCTTTTCAATGGAATACTTTTTTAAAACCTCAAAAGGGCTATGACAGAAAAGATTAGATTATTCCAGATTCTCAGCACCAACCTGCTTTTTGAAAGCTCAACCGCTAACAAGAATTTTGATTTGGTTTATACTTTCTCATGATGATGACCTGAGGCAGAAAAAGTATGACAGAGGTAAACGTACTTAGGATTTTATGGGTGGTTGTTTATCGTTTGATGTGTACTCTTGTATTTGAATTTCTTTCAACTTATTTTGTAGGTCACATCGAGTTCACATGGCAACAAGTTATGATTGGAATTCAAAGCTCGATCATCATGTTTCCCATCAATCTCCTTATTGTGAGCATCTTCAGAAACACTCGTCCCCGAGAGAAGGCACCCGCCAAAACAGACGCATCCAAACAGGCCAAGACTGGTCGTGTCTCTCCGTCACAGACCTATTCTCCTCAGAAAGAGCCGAAGGACATCACACCAGACACTGTCATCAAGGTGAGGAAACAAATATCCTGATCAATGACGTGGAAAATGAAGATAACTCTTTGCTTCTGCATTCTGACTGACGTGCTTCATGTGGTTTCTGCATTAGGACATAAAGAGGATCGCTCAGTCTCTCTCAAAGGCCATGAAGAGTCCGCTGCCTGACCTGCAGCTCCGGCCCGGTCAGCAGGTAGACATCAACACTCTGCTGTCTTTGGTGGAGAACATTATCAGACAGCAGAACCGGGCGGCCAGAGACTTTTACACTGACGCCTCCAAAAGCGATCGCTCCATGATCCTCAGTTTAGGTGCCGTTAATCTGCAAGGTAAAAAGCAAGTAAACCTTTACAACGCTCCTAATATCTTGTGTTTCAGATTTTTCTTGGCCTATCCTTTTTTGAGGACTAATACAATAAGTGGATCAGATATTGTTATTTCAATTTAATAGAGTAGAAATAAAGTCTATAGAAATGTTGTAACATACCTATTAATAATTATTTTATATATCTACAGTATTTTATCTGTTTTCTGTCTGTTCTTCTGTCAGTTTTCCTTAGCAGAATTTTTTTTGCCATGTGTCTGACTTGATTCAATTTATTTTTGGTTCACAGATATAAAAACAATCAATTAATTTATCCTTCATTATTTGAAAAAAATCTTTAGTTATAGGATGGTAATTCCCTGTTTCTCATACAAAGTACGAATGTTTCAAAGTAGTTTCCCTAAATTCCTGAACATGTTTCCTGAAAGACAAAATAAAAATGCATCAACCTCAATGAGAAATCCAGCTAAGAGAACAGTAAATGATTCTATAGTAAAATTGAATTCCTGAATTAGGAGGTTACAGTTTAGCAGTTCATTATAATGTCAGCATTGTGAGGTGGAATCCTATGTGACTGATGCAGATTTTTGTGCACAGAAACCCGAGGATGCAGCAGCCCAGAGAAGACCTCAGATGATGCTCAGAAGAAGAGCACCAACACCAGGTACCTGTACAGGCAGCTACGTCATGTTGAGAAGGAGCTGGGTTTGTTGGGACCTTCTCGGTTTCCAAATCCAGACAGCTACAATCGGGCCATGCAGCAAGTCCAGGGAATGAAGGGTCTCCTGGAGTACCACCTCCCCTCATCCAGCCTGGAAGGAGACCAGCTGGACCGCAGTCCGAGTCCAGAAGAGAGCATTGCGGGAGGGTCCAGCAAGAAGTGCTGTCAGGGAGGGCTGCCATGGTGGTTTGTGTTTGTTGGCTGGACGCTTGTGATTGCAACCAGCTGTGTGTCGGGATACTTCACCATGATGTACGGGCTGACGTATGGGAAAGAGCGCTCTATAAGCTGGCTAATCTCCATGCTGGTCTCCTTCTTTGAGAGCCTCTTCATCACTCAGCCATTGAAGGTGAGTGTCATGGTTAGAATGCATAGACATAACATTGGCAGCACTGCAAATGATTTTCTAACTAATATCCAGAATTGTCTTTGTTTAATGATGTGTAACTGTATTTATGAGAACTGACAAAAATCCTCTGACATACTTGAAACTGTTTTTTTTATTAAGTTGATGTATACAGTCCATGAGTGCTATGATACCCAAGTGCAATGATAAGTCATTAAAACTCTCTCGACAATAAACCGAACTTATTCTAAAATAATGATACTTAACATGAAACAAAATAAACCTCATAAGATAAGATTCATTGACTTAAATAAAATAACAAGAAATGCATATAAAATGGAAAAAGCAAGAATGATAAAGTGGCTGATAAAAGATATTTTAAGAGCCAAATTAATGAATATATAATCGTCATTTGATTTTGATTCAGTTAAACACAAATCTATTTTACAGCACCATAAACATGCTTTCTTTTTCCTCCATACACATTTAGAATGTATTAGTTTTGATGTCTGAAACTCTTCTCTTCTTAGGTTCTTGGTTTTGCAGCTTTCTTCGCTCTTGTTCTGAAAAAAGTTGATCAGGAGGAGTATGGAGAGCCTCAGATAGATGACAGTCTGAGAAACACAGGTATTTTTTTTTTTTCCAGTTTGAACTTTTAATGTATATTTTTGCATAGAGAGAAAAAACACATTTGTTCTGCATGCCTCCTTCAGATGATCCAGACATGGTCCGTGCAGCCAGAAGAGACAGTACATGCAGTTTCTATCAGCCACCGCCTCCCACTGACATCGAGAGGATGAGAAACAACATGATAAAAGAGCAGAGAGTCTTCGCCCTAATAAAAGAGATTCTAAGTAGGAGCATCACTTTGATACATAACGACACAGGATGTATTGTAACAGTTTGAGATGCTGATGAATGATATTTGTTTGTGATGCAGCCTACATGGGCTTCATGTGGATGCTTCTCTTGGTGGCGTACGGTCAGAGGGACCCAAACGCCTACTTTCTGACCCAACACGTTCGACAGAGCTTCAGCAAAGGCATCTCAGACAGCATGAGCATTCAGGATGTGTTCGACTGGGCAAACACAACTCTGCTGAGCAGCCTGTTTGGAGAGTACCCAGGTTGGTATGTTGTGACGTTGTTAAATGTCGCGCATGACTGCTTTGCATGAACCCCATTTTAACATGTCCAATTGTTTGTTTCCTTTTCAAAACACAGGAAACATCATTCCATCTGCGTCATTATTATTTAAAACTATTAGTAAAACTACAATTTATTTTTTGCATGGCAATTAAAGTATCTCTCCTTTCAACGTCCGTGTCTTATCGTAGGATTCATCACAGACGGAAACTCCAAACTTGTTGGGAACGCTCGCCTCCGCCAGCTGAGGGTGCAAAAAGGCTCCTGCAATGTGCCCCTCTCTATGCAGCAGTCTAATAAGGACTGCCACGCTCCATACTCATGGGAGCTGGAGGACATGGGCTCCTACAGTCCAGGCTGGAGCAGTGCCGTGCAGGATAACTCTTCTCTGAACCTTCAGAGCCCATGGACGTACCAGTCTCAGGGCAAACTGAGGGCCTTACCCATCTGGGGCAGTGTGAGGCTCTACAGAGGAGGAGGGTTTGTGATGGATTTGGGACCTGATTTACAAAACTCCAGCAGGTAGGACTTGAAATGCATTAAGTACCCACCAATATAAACCCAAGTGAATGATACAAAGTTAAGTAATAAGAATGATCAACAGCAATTTAGGTAATGGACTTATGACTTGTGAATTTGTATTAGACAGAAGTGTTTTATACCCAATTTTGACAACATTTAAGTAAAACAACAAACACCCTTGAACGCTTCCTGACATTTAAAGTGAAATCAAAACAAATCAATCATTCAGTGTTTATAATACCTGTTAGTTTTAGCCTTACGAATAGACACACGGAAAAAGCCAAACTTAAATTCACCTTAAAACACAAGTGAGGGGGCAAAAAGGCTGCTGCAATGTGCCCCTCTCTGTGTAGCACTCTCAGAAGGACTGTCATTCTCCATACTTATAGGAGCTGGAGGACATGAGCTCCGACAGTCTCTGGTTGGTCATTCATCTTTAATGAAGAGTTCAAATCCAACAATAACTCTTTGACTAATGTTCAGGTTTCAAAGAGTGTAGCAATGACAGTTTCACACCACTACATTCAGTATATATTGAACATCATTGCCGTCATCATGTCTCTCAACACAGATGTTCTTAAGTGTTTTACGGTCAAACATTTCTTAATCATGTGATTTTTTTCACCCTGTTTTTTCTCTTTGTAGATCCCTTCAGTACCTTTATGATAACACCTGGTTTGACGTGTACACCCAAGCCATCTTTGTGGAGTTCACTGTGTACAACGCTAATGTTAACCTCTTCTGCATTGTCACCCTGCTGCTGGAGACCACAGCTACAGGTACAGTCTGTAGTTCATGCTCAGCTATTGTTTTAGAGCTGCACACTCTGTCTTTAACTTTTGCTTTCCCTTAGGAGCTTTCCAGTTTCGCAGCGAGCTACAGAATGTGCGTCTTTACCAGTCCACTGGCGGCCTTCACATCTTTGTCATGGCCTCTGAAGTCATTTACTTCCTCTTCGTCATGTATTACATGTTTGTCCAGGTACGATTCAATGGCATTTTTAATTACTGGGAATAAGAATGAAGTTGCATCCAAGATCATCGCACACTAAATACTCTCCATCTGACAGGGTAAACTGATGAAGCAGCACAGGTGGGCTTATTTTAAGAGCAAGTGGAACCTGCTCGAGCTGGGGATCATCATCCTCAGCTGGAGCGCGATGTCTGTCTTCATCAAGAGGACTGTACTCGGAATGCAGAACATCGAGTACTACCAGAACCACAAAGATCAGTAAGTAGCTCTGTAGTGCAGAGCTGTAGTCTCAGTCTCACTTGTATGTAGTAACTGACAAACATAAAACCAGACTAATTCCAGCAAAAGGGAAAATATGAAAGTATTGTTTTCCGAATTATTTTTGTTGTGTGTGATGGCTGATACTTGTTTCGACCAAATATAGGAATATTTGAGCTTAGCATTATCTGACAAAATGTTCTGCTTCATTACTATTCAACCTTGGAGAGCATATCTTACCTTTGGAAGTTTACTTCAACAAGGGGAATCTGTCAGTGAATTACATTTAAAGCTCCCAGAGGAGTTTATAGCTGGTGTATGAAACAGACTGAAATGAATGCTGATGCCTCTATATAACCTAAAAAAGCAAACCAGACCATTACAGAGAAGACTGATCATTTCTATGCAATCATTTCATCCTGTTACCTCTGCCATTGGGTAGCTTTCACACAAAACATCCCTTTTTGAATTTTTCCCCACCAAAGATAAATTGTGAGTTGCATGTTAGAAACTTAACATAAAGATAAATTAAGAAGGATGAGGACTTATTTGAGAAAAGATGACTAAAATAGGTGCAGGGTAAGATCAGCAAAGAGATCAATCACGCCTCTCTGTAACCACAGGGGACACCACATTCGACACACCCTGAAAGTTTCTCACAGGACCTTTAAACTGACTTTATTGGAAAGTTTTACTAGAGCTGTTTTCACACACTAACTGCTGAAAATGTGTAAAACACAAAATTTAAAAAACAAATTCGGTACAGCTGCCACTGAAATCCTCCAGAGTTACTTTTTTCTCCCACGTCGAGACGTTTTCCCTGTTAGATGGGTTTGGGGGTTTCTGGAGGCCGACTCATTCTGACTTCACATGGACTCTTTACCAGGGGGCTGGCAGGCAAAAGTCAGGTTAAAGTCGGGGAAAGTTCGGGAAATGTTCTGGGGTTTTGTGCATGTGTATTGGACAACTATAATCTTCTCACTTGAATCAAAACCTCTTTCAATGGATTACAACAAGGCTCTGTTCTCTAATGCTCTGTCTCCAGATATGCCAGTTTCCATGAGACAGCCAAGGCTGATGCAGTGCTGGGGTATCTGATTGCCTTCTTGGTCTTGTTAGCTACAGTCAAACTGTGGCACCTGCTGAGACTGAACCCAAAGCTGCACATGATCACGGCCACACTGCAGCGAGCCTGGACTGATATTTCAGGCTTCCTGGTGGTCATGACCATTATGTTCTTGGCCTACTCCATCGCTGTGAGCAGTTTCCCACACTATACATCAACCTGATGCAGTTTGTCAAATAGAACCCATTCAAAAGAGTGTTAATAACACAGAGATGAACCTTATGCATTTCAGTCTAACCTGATGTATGGCTGGAAGCTGTACTCCTATCGGACTCTGCTGGATGCTGGATTGACCATGGTCAGCCTGCAGCTAGGCATCTTTAACTATGAAGAGGTTTGTAATAGACTGTAATAAAACCACAGCAGAAAAAAATGGCTGTTCTTTCTCACAGTGTATGACCTCCCTCCTTTTCATCAGGTTCTGAATTACAATCCAGTGCTGGGCGCCTTCCTCATCGGCTCCTGCATTGTGTTCATGACCTTTGTTGTGCTGAATCTCTTTATCTCTGTCATTCTGGTGGCATTCAGTCAAGAGCAGAAACATCACAAGGTAACTCACCCAAGTGGTGTCTTAAATGTCTCATAGTTCTGGATAAGTGTGATAAGCATGGCAGTAACAGCCCATTTAATTTAGATTTTGTTTTTGTGTTTCTTGTAGCCATCAGAGGAGGAAGAAATTGTGGACCTGATGCTGATGAAAATCTGCAGTTTGTTTGGAGTAAAAAGTAAGAAACAAGGTGATGAAGGCCAAACTGAGGGGTCAAATAATGGACTCTCAACAATTTCCTCTGGAAGTATTTGAAATATTGATTGGGTTCGAAAATCTTGCTTTTCGTAGCTTGCTTTGTGATTGCTTTACACTGAATATAAGCCCTTGCAAATCTATAAATGATTAGAATTTTATTTTACCACTTAAGTAAATTATAATGCTATTGTAGTAAAAAAAAAATAACAAACAGAAAAAATAGAAATTGAGGATAATCCTTGTGTAAAGTTCTTACTGTTTGTAAGTCTTTTGGCTGCAGTTTATTTTATTTAACAAATAAATATGTGTTTCTGTGACTTCATTTGCATATGTTCAAGATTTGTGTTTTATTCAGTTCAATAAGTATTCCATAGCAGCAGGCTGTCCCCACCAACAATCCTGAGGAACCCACAAGACATGAGAGCTCACAAGCTCCCAGGAAAACATATGGTTACTAACTAAGATTTACAGATAGTGACATGCAGTAATATGATGTGAGTGTAGAGAGAGGTAGGGAGAGATGGGAGCTCAAGATGCCAGTTCCTCAGGTACTCTAAGCCTATAGCAGCATAAGAGCTGGCCTCTATAAGCTTGACCAAAAAGGAACGTTTTAAGTCTACTGTGTAACGATACTACAGTTCTTATGGCATATGACACAACTACATTTGGGTGTTATCACATTCAACATGATATCATCTGTTTATAGTGATAGCAAATATGAATATGAAATGAGAACAGGAGATCTGTGAACCATAAACATAAATACGCATGTGTAATATATATTGCCAGGTGTCCTAAAATGCCTGTTTAACATTTTTCAGTGATGCACAAAGTAAAAAAAAAATACATGACTCATTTTACATTCAGTTAAATTCAAAAGATGGGAATTTAAAGTAATTTTCTTGGTTAGTTGTTACTACCACAAAGCAATATAATTTCTATCAAATACTTTTATGTCATTTGTGATAAGAAAAATGGCCATTAAGTATTTTTTGTGGCATATACCTAAAACCCAATAGTTATGTTACACTTGTTTGATTGTTTGTTGTTTTACCGTCAGTGCTAAACTCACCCTTTTACTTTGTAGGGAAAAGGTGTTTTCTGTATATTTTGGTATGGAAGTGCATGACCTGTAACAGAAAGATATATTGATCACTAAAGGTCTGTAACTGTTAAGGTCAAAAGGTCAAATGATAATTACAGGTACTATGACTCAGGAATACACTGGTGCTGGGTCCGGCGTCATGGGCTTAGGGCCTACTGTTGATCAACAAGGAAAACCTTACAAGCTCAAAGTGACCTTAACTTGTTCGGTGTTGTTTATCTATTGCATAAAACTAGAGCACAAAAGTGTTTAGCAAATTCTAGCTTTGCATCAAAATAGTAGTTGTGAAAATGTGTAGTTATTTTTATGAAAGAAATAGGCTACTCTTATTTATATTTACTGCATATATGGATGCCAGTCATAAGAAGTCATGTCAGAACAATGACACATCGGGCAGAAATTAAGAAAGAAAAAAACCCTAAAAGCTTTAAAAAATATTGCTTTAAAATGGTATAGTCAGAGATTTTCATGCAAAAAAAGTATGAATAATATGTTCATTAAGGTATTTTTCTTCTTAATATGTTTTAAACTTATACGTTTAAAAAAATAAAAATATACGTCTATAGTCACCGCTTCTCAGTCACCACCATAGTCACCACTTAGTAATGCTCATTATCATAAAAAAAAAAAAATCATCGACGTAACGGTTTACGTATTGCGTCATGTGCGTGGGCGTGTCACCCGCTGTTGGCAGCAGTAGCACGTCGGCTGGCGACAACATGCCTCGTAGACGGACCTAGAGGGGTGTCACTAGACAAGTCACCGAGAAGACAGTTTACCAGTTTTAACGACAGGGTCAACGAAGGAACAAGAGTGGTCTTAACACAAGTTTTAAAGTTTTTTTTTGACAGTGAAAGATACATTTTTATTGTCCCGCTACGTGAAGGTGTGTGAGTGGGTGTCCGGTTTCCCAGTCTTGAGGGATTGCGATGCCCTCTGACTTTATCTCCCTTTTCAGCGGGGACCTCGACCTGAATCCTCCCAGAGCCTTCTACTCGAAAGGTAAAAATTAACATCTCTTTAATGTTGTCTTCTTGTTTGGGTCTCTACTTTCTCGTTAACTTCTGTGAGACTTATCTACCTAACGTACCTGTGTTTGGAGCAAGTTGTGTTCATATGGTAGCGCTCAGCCCTCTCCCCTCTCAGTGTCATTCATCTAGCATATAAACTCCCTCCTGTCACATGCCTGCTGATAATAGACTGGAGATAACATTTTTTCTCTGTACATAGATGCCCATGTTATTCGAGCGTTTTTTACTTTTGGTTTGGTTTCATGGAAAGTTTTTTTTCTCTTCTTATTTTAATTTTGTGTCAAACTCAAGCCCTCAGCAGCAGCATGCACACCGGTTAGACCAGTTTACTTTACTTCCCCCCCAGCCTGGTGAAAACAGGGCTGTCTATTTTCTGTGGGTTGTTTGAGTAGACCCCCCCCCTCCCCCTGCTTCACAGAGGCACCACACACGTCCTGTACCCTCTGAGCGCTGCAAGTGTGTCCATCATAAACATCAACATTGTTATCAACACTTTAAAGGGAACCTGCAGGCTAAATGGCTAAACTTCATTCATTACAGCAGGTTTGAGTCAGGAAAAAACGAAAGGTCTGAAAAGTATTACAGCATGCTTTTCCACAGTAAAAGAATATATTTGTAAAGACTTCATCAATCATGTTTTCTCCAAAGATATTATACCGGAAAACAGAAAAGTATCTAAGAAAAAACGTTTATTATTTATATACAAGCGTGTATAGCTTACACTTTGCCCTCTGGCCATGTGCAAAGCTGTTTTACAGCCCATTTTAGTATTTAAGATAGAGAAATAATGCATTAATAGGATGCTAATATTAGTCAGCCAGTTTATTGCTCAGGGTGACAGACCATGTAGTCAGGTCCTCTGTGGGGTTGTGTGTAACACCATTGTACCTAGCTGTTGTAATCCAACAGCTCCAGTGCAAAGGTAAGGGACCATTTCAGAACATTTGTGCAGAGCTCTAATGGTTTCAGCATTATCCAACAAAGCACTACGTTTGCATGCCCATTATGTGCAATTGCACAGTTCAGGTAGATTACTACTGTATACTACTTTATTGTGCCGCTGTAATCATGGACATGATAACACATTTCACATGCCGAGTTGTGGTTCATACAACAGTCTCAGTGGCAACTGAGACATTATACAACATAAATCATTTTTTCTGATACTATGTGGACTCCTATTATCCTATAGGGATAATTGGGCCGATTTGAGGTCCGATTCCACTTTCCAGTCCTGTATTTTAGAATGCCCATAAACTCCCCTGCTCACAGCAAGCTGTTTCTGTGTTTCTGTGTATGACCTGCCCCCTCTCTGTAAGGGGAGTGTGGGAAGCCCAATTGTTATTGAGTCTAACTTTTTATGCTCCAGTTTTAAGTCATGTTAACGTCACAAATATGAGCAACTGTTTTCATTTCAAAGCTTCCAGATTGATGTGAAAGCATACAGACAATAGAAACGCAAAATCCGGAGACACAATGGGCCGTGTTATGAGTTAAAAAACATATTTGATAACCCGTAAGCTACCACTAACGTTAGCATTTAGCCACTTAGCTTACAACGTATCATAAGAACACTACCATCATAGATAAGTACATGAAATAGACCATAACATTAATGTCAACACCACTGAAGCAGTCAGTTAATCAAATGCCGGATAATCGAGTAATGTGAAAAGAACAGTGGAGCTTGAAGAGAGATCTTAAATATGTTTTAAATATGTCGGAAACAGTTGCTCAGATTTGAGACATTGACATGATTTAAACCACAGAAATACGATGACAACAGTTTGGCTTTACACCCTTGACATACCATCAGAGAAATGGCTGCTGTGGGAATTGTTATCGGCTGGAAGTCGGACACAGAGGTCAGAATAAGCACCAAGCTTTGGTTTTGTCACCCACCAGGGGGAGGTATTATTTCCCTGTTTGACGTCATGAAGGGAAAATCTCCGAACGGCCTGTTTTAGCACACATTTTCTTAAAAGCGGAGCAGGCAAAAGACGGAGAGGACAGACTTTTCTCATAATTTGGGGGGTTTTAAAAGAGACTAGGGTCACACCTTAGTGTTAAAAAACCATGCAAAAGTGCATTTTGAATAATATGTGACCTTGTCACCTTTAATAATAATAATACTTTAAATTGGTATAGAGCCTTTCACAAAGCGTTGTCCCAGAGTGCTTTACAAAATATTACCATAACAGTAATAACAGGAATACAATCATAAAAGATGAACACAGAAAAACAATACTTGTAAATGATTATATCACATCATGACAACCAGATTAAATTTGGTCAAAAGACAATTGGAAAAGGTGAGTCTTAAGTAACTTTTTAAATACATGAATCTAAAGTTTAAACAAAAAACGCCTAATTTGAATGTTTGTTGGTGTTCTTGGTGTGTCACACCTGCTGAAGAGTGAAGCGTGTTTGACTGACATAATAAAATAAAACAGGTGTTTTATTATGTTCTGCTGATTATTGATAGAAGGAAGAAGTGACTAAGTGGGTCTTATACACTAAAATCAGTTATAAAAAGCTGGTGAACCAATCCTTTACTACTTTAGTAATCCTTTACTTTCACCTTTACACAATAAGGAAACTCTCCACTTAAGGAGTTATATCACTTCATTTCTTTAGAAAGTCATTTCAAAAAGGTTTCATTTTTCAAGAACAGTTTTGAATGTTTCATTTCTTGACGCGTTCAGTGTGAATTGATTCAACAAAAAATTATGTTGAGACTTGTTCTACCTTGTATACTTACTAGTCACTTTATCGTTTACTTTTGACAGGATAGTTAACTTGGCTGTGTGTGAATGGAGGAGGCTAGTTTGGCATCTTGTCGACCAGGCCAACTCTCAACGGGTAATCTGTGGGATCGTTCTCTCTGAAGAGATTTATCACATTGATATTATAGATTTTAAATGGAGAAGCAATCAAATTGTATTATTTCTGCATGGTTATTTTTGGATTAGTTAGTTACTCTGTAACATTGGAATGCTAAATACATGTATAATGCTGGCGGTACAGGGAATTCCCAGGAAAAACAACGGATCCACTCAGGATAGGAATGGCACTCGTACTACCTTGTTGTGGTTTTGAAATGACTCTGGGTTATTGAACGTCATAAAATGTCTTCCCATCAGTTTCACAATGAAGAATGTTATGGGTTTCTCGTAACTTTTATGAAACCAGGTTAACAATTGTAAGACCACAGATCTCGAAATACTTTTTTTTCCTCATATTGACACCCACCAAAGGCTGTTCAATCATTAACCCTCTGGCTGCCCTGTGTGTAAACCTGGGCTTAAATAGCACTCTATTAATATTGACTCTGCTGTGTTAAGCAAACTTAGCGGCATGCACTTAGAAAATACTTGATTGCCTTAAAAGCTTGTTGATATCTGATGATGAAAGAAAGAATACTGCAGAAGGAAAACGTCTGAAAAATAAGCTAAAGTACGTTTAGAGTTTGTAACAAGGCTGTCTTATTAGGTCATTCTCTTTTCTGTCATAAACACAAAGATAGTTGGACAATATATTTCCTCTTACTGTTTTATATGAACATTACTACCACTTGACTCAAAACACAGGTTGAAACAAAATGAGGTGGGTATGTAACTGGGTACTATCTATAACATTCTTTATGGTGATTTCACTGGGTTTACACACAACAAAGATCTGGTCTTTATACTTCTGAAAGGCAGTTTGATTCAGCTACACAGCACGTTACCAAATTCTCAGTCTTGATGTTGTGGTTTTTCTGAAATAGTTATTTTCTTCTTTTGAAATCAGACGGTGAAGAAATGTGTTTTTCCAGACCCCTAGAATCAAAATGTACAAAAATCTCACTCAGCCAATTGAAACAGGATGAGACACTAATATGAGCCCAATGAAAATCATGTCACTGTGGTCAGATACTATCTGTCTGAGGAGCTTATAGTGTGAGTCTTTGTATAAGTATTAGTAATTAACTTGTTGAGTCCTTGAAGGTCATTCTGTGTCTTTCTTGAACTCAGGCTCCATCTTTGAACTGTGTAACTTGGTGAAGTCTCCAAGCAATCAGGACCCTCTGTCTCTATCGCCTTAATGGTGGTACTAGGTAATGTTTTAAACTGTCTTGACCCAGGGCTGCAAGTTTTCCTTTTAAGCAACCCTTTTAGTAGCCTATGCTTCAGCTGAACTTTGACTATGGGGACCTACATCCACCCAGTTTTGGTTCCTGTACCAACAGGATTAACTCCCTGCTCCTGACTTATTGTCTTTAATTGCCAAGGCCGTAGAGAGATGGAATTTGCAGTATAGCACATACATATTTAAGTGTCTCTGAACAAAAATGAAATTGTCACAAAGCTAAAAAACGCACAGATGGTGAAATAACTCAAACACTCAGTTGATAGCTTTTAACTTCACAGACGAGCATAAAGCAGTTTTAGGTTATCTGGTGTTCCCTCTTTTTTCTGCACGTCCCCTATTGACATCCAATAAAATCACACAATCATTCATGAGTAAATTGTCAATGACTTATACTTACCAGGAACTAAATGGTGATGAAATTACTTTTAAAATAAGCAAAGAAGTGCAAGTCATTACTTTGATATTGAATCCTGAGTCCTTTATGAACTGATTGAATAAATGAGGAATCAGTCTCAGTTTTCTCTTAATAAACAGTCAAATGTAAAGTCGGTGTTATTAGAAGTTTAAATACGTGCTTTGTATGTTCAGTTTTGGCATTCCCTGTTTATTCTTCAAGTGTGTCTCGTCAAAAAAACATTGTCACCATGCCATACCTTCTTCTGAATCTCTTTAAATTAATCATTAACACTAACCAAACCTACTTAAAAAAGACCAATCAGGCACAGGTCACAATATCACCCTCTCTGGTATTTACTGCTCTCTTGTGACTTTGTTGTGGCCGCAGCAAATCAATGTATAAGTGGTTTAACCTGTTAAAGAGTGGCACACTTGTTCAATACTGAATATAATGGTCTATGTAATGACTTTTTTCACAACTGTTTTAAAAGTGGTGTGTTTATGTCATCGCTAGATTTCATTCTAAGCCTACTATTAAATGTTTTTACAATCTTCACACTTCAAAAATATTTCCCAATGCACACAAAAGTTCAGCTCAATAATTTTGTATCCTTACAAAATAATATCAAACATTCATTTGTAAAACTATTCTAAAATTATGTGAAGAATATTAGGAAAACATTATTTATGTACTGTTGATCAAATAAAAAATCATCAGTATAAATCAGTTAATTATTACTAAAATATAAAAAAATACAGTGAAACACTGAATCTTTTATAACTGCCATTATTTAGTATTTAATGTCTAACTACAAAATTGGCATCATTAATTTAGTTTGACCTGCTTGTTCTACTGCTAATTTAGTGTTATCATTTGCAGTTTTGAAAGCACTTTACATCTCCCTTTAATACATTGTGTCATCTATTAAGAACTTTTTTTAGCATAGCCAGAAACTCGCAAAAAACTATAAATATATCCTAAGTATGTGATGGACTTTTCTACTCTGCTAGACACTTAAAATGTAGCAGGCCTTTGTTTCCTCAGATGAGGTTATTGGGTCAGCTTTAAAAAGAGATCTTAGCCACACTGAAGCAGCCACACACATGGGATCTAAAAGGGAGTTTAGGTACTAGGAGAAGGATACTGTCGAGCAGGATATCACTTAGAAAAACGAGAGGTTATGAACGAAACCATGATGTTTCATGTCTTAAATTGGTTTACTGGTTCCGTTTCAATTCTCTGTGTAAAGATGACCTTCTGCTTGTCCATTAAAGTCATTCAGTGAGTGAATTTATAAAGGATTAGGGTTGTCAGATTTTCTACTGTAAATAAGTTCAAAATTAAGGAATGAATTTTAATCATCAAACTCAAAAGGATGATTAGCAGTTCTATCAGTATGTATTCCTCTCTCCCCTCTGCATGTTTGGGCTTGTCCAAAAGAAAACCCAAACACCTCGCAGATTACACGGTTACCATAGCTTATCGTTAGTGTGCTACACTTTAAGACACCATTGTCACTCTCAGACAAAAATGAGAGGGAAAAAACTGGAGAAAGTTCAACAGAACTGGAACATCTTGCTTTTTTGAAGTCACCCGTGAGACAATGTTTACCTTATCTGTGGTACTTGATGGTCAGTAGGGTTATAATGACAATGGTGAAATGCACAACATGTTCCAGTTTTGGTACTTATCCTGAGAAGGACAACTCCTATACTAAGCTAAGCTACAACTTAATTGTTGTCTGCTCTTAACTTGTTGATTGTAAACTGATTCTTAATCATGTTATATTTATTATGAAGTGCTGCCCTCTTGGCCAGGTTGTCCTTGTAAAAGAGATCTTGACCTCAATGGATTAATTACCTGGTTAAATAAAGGTTAAATAAAAATAAAGTGTACTTTGTGCACTGCGAAATAAACTAAATAAAAAGAGCTGATCGAATTCACAATTTAATCATTTTCAGAATATAGCCATAAGTGCAAAATAAGAGAAAAAAATTGATAAGGACAACCTATACTCAAATGTTAAAAGCAGAATTGATTTGGAGTAATGTGACTTCCTCAATGCAGTTCAGCAGTTTGTATAATAATTAATGTGATGTGTAGATGGTGTCGTCTTCAACAGCCAATGAAGAGGAGCTCAATGTTGAAACCCTCTTCCTGGTTTTAAAGGTCACGATACTTGGTACATTTGCATCCAATCATTTTGGGGATGACTTCTCACACTTCTCTGTAAAAAGCACAAAGAACATGCGAGATCTCACATCTACCCCTTGTGTTTCTCTCCAGAGATAGATGATTCTGGACTTAGACATTAAATATTGAGTGTGGTGAATCTTGGCTGGCAGCCGTCTTTCCATTGGCAGATAAGAAGCAGCAGTTAAGGTGTCAGGAGCTCATAACAAGGCAAAATTGTGTTACACTCTGCCCAGATAGTTCATGGCTCAAAGCGATTGAAATGAAGTTGAATCCTTTATTTGGGCATATGATCTGCAATTTGCAACTCTTGTTCATGAGCCTTATCTGCAATTCATAGCTCATTCATAAGTTGGCTCTACCATATTTACTTTTTTTGAGAGATGGATCCACTCTTATTTAAGCTGTTACAATTTGGTCGATAATATTTCTTGTCAGACCGCGGGACCTGCTCCAAAAACTAAAAACATCTTTGCAAGCGTCTGGAAAATCAGAGATGCTTTCCCAAGTACAGTATCCTGGCTACAGGGTGTGTTGCCTTGTGTAAAAATGTGTCTTACAGACTTGTACATACATACTGTTTTGGCTTTGTTCGGTATTTTTGTGCCATTTCAAGTTGAGTTTGTATGTTGAGTTCCTTGAAGTCTTTTGTTGTGACCAGTTTACATAATAAAACAGATATCCTTTTATTCTACTCTATTGTTGTGATTGCATTTAGTACCTGTAATTGTCCTGTACTGGTAATGGTTATAACAATTAGTAATTGTGTGCATTGCCCACTGATTTCTTTGTAATAATAAAATAGGATAATATAATAAGAAGGAAAAGCTAAAGACATCAAGATAAAATAGTTATTTAATAGACAAACATTGGCTTTCTATACAAATACAATCTAAAGCACATTTGGGCACTTATTTACACATTCAGCTGCTTGGGGGGGGGGGGGGGTCTACTCTATCCTGGAGCTTTGTTGTGATGGACCTGAGCTCTGATGATGCACAGTTGTAGATACAGGCAGGCAGAAAGTTTAGGAGCAGCTTCTCCCTGTGAAATGTGAGTAAACCTCAGCTGTGGGTGATGCCTGTGGATCATCAGCACCAGACTCTGTTTTGTAGAAAGGCCCGTTCATCTTCAAATTCTCTTTTGCATCAATCTCAATCTCTTTTAAGGCGTTCACACTCCAGCTCTTTGATTTTTATTGCAACAACTTCAGGACCTTGGACAATAATATTATTTTGTATTAGAGTGGTTTCATATTTTCAAAACTGTTTAGGTAACAGCAACAATACATTTGTATGTTAGACAACTGTACTACTAAATACTTACATCTTGTGTCCATCACGGTTTCAAGCAGGAAGTCGGGGGTTCTGGTAGTTATAATCAGTAGCTGCCAGCAAGGTCAGTGTTCTGTATACAGGTGGGCTGTGACCAAACTGCTTCTCTGCATACATAAGGGTGTGCTTTCTTAAGTTCTCTCACCAGCTTGAGCGATAAAAAGAGTCAAAATATAGATGCAGTGTGCCATTTCAAATACATTTTGTAATGGTCCTAAATAGCATTCATGAATCATGCAGCCATTGTCGATTTGAAAAAAAGTGGAAATGTGTTTGTATGGAAATAATTACAAATACAAGCATCTGCATGACTGGAAGGTGACCTGCGAAATATGTATTTGTGTGTTTGAGATATAACTCAAATTTACCTGGATTACAAGACATCAGCCTCCTCTTCCTCATTCAGTTGCTGAACATCTTGGACAGCAAATACATCATTCCCGAATCAAAAGACAAGTAGAATATTACATCTTACCATTCAATGATAGTATTTTTTTAGATAACGTTACTCCATGAAAACATACCTGTCGCAGTCTGACTGTAGACTCTGGCAGGGTGGTAGGTTGCATTTGTTGCAGGAGATGATACTGATCGCCTTTTTAGAAAGCTGGAATAAAGTTCGAAGTCATTATGCTGGTTGATACGACTGTGCAGAGTATGTACAGTAACGTTAGTTTCAACACGAGAAACTTTGCATACGCGCTGCTAAGATAATTAGCAGCCGGAGCTATCGTAACCTGAACCCGGGACAATATGCTGTCTATATTATCATGCTACGGGCTAAACTTCTGCAGACATGAGCTGACTTGGCTTTCAAACACCCGCTAATGTGACGACAACTTTTTGCGCCGTGCATCAGTCAAAGTCTGCCCAAATAACTCTGACATATAAGGTTAGCATGCGTCGCTAACTCATCATCAGGTGACAGTAACGTTATTCTGACATTCTGGTCGTTATATGATATAGACTGAATGGGTTTGTGTTGAAACAACTGATAACTATGATGCAAAGAAATAAGACAAAGTTTATAACGAACATAGTACTCACCAGTTCAACAGCAGCTGTGCCAGCTCGGTATAGGACTTACCGCCCACCGTTCCCTGAAGCTCTCTCCAGCGTGTAAAAGCCTCTCCAATATTTACTCTAGTCCATCTGGTCTCTTGTTCGGTCACTCTATCTTTATTCTTTATTTTATTCCTAGCTTCATCCGTCAACGTGCTTTTCCTCTTAGCCTGCATCAAGCAGTACAGAGACAGGCTTACTCCTAATATTTACAGTCTCTGCAAACTCCGAGGACTTGTAAACTAGTGCCATAAAGCAGTACGTACCTCTCGCGAGATGAGCGCGAGCCGCGGTCAGAAAGTTACATAGTGGAGTGTTGAGGCAGCGAGCCGCTGTGTGGACATTGGAGAGACAACATTCTCCCTGTTGAATGTGATTACGCTGTTAGACGGACTTACAAGCAAATATTTTAAGGTTGGAAAGTTACATATTGGGGCCAAAGAGCAGTTGATTCAACTCTTTGGTCTTTTTAAAGGATTAATGTTGTTGTTTGATTATTAAAAAACTTTAAGCTTCAAATGAAAACCAGGTAATGTTTGACCTCTGTTTTCTGAATCTCCCATCACACATTACAGGAAACAGGCTCAGCAGTTAAGACATATTTATTCTGTTTGGACATCCTAAAAAGTGACTACTCTGTAAAAGAAGAGTTTCAACTCACAGCAAGTTTTCATTAAAAACTGGCCCTATCTGTTGAGGACGAAATTACTCATACTTGCCAGCTAGGAAAAAAACAAATTGGCTCAAAAGTCCTATTGGGACCTTTAAAATCCTGTAGTCTGCATGTAATCCTTGCTGTAACTTCCTACAGAGGAAGGAGTCTATTGGTCTAAAGACAGGGGCTGTGTGTCAAAATAAACAAACTGTAAGTAACATGTTACATGCAAATACTTTTATATTGGACTCATCAAGAGGTGTTTAAAGGACAGGAAGGCAGAACATAAATATGCCATAAGGACTAATGATGAGGAAGGTTGCTTTTGAAGGTTGAAGAGAGTGAGGAGATAGATTTTAGACCATTGCTCTAATTTTGTCTGGTCTTTTTACTTGTAGAAAGGATGGATGGGTCAACATAACATCAGACTGACACCGTTCATTTCCCATTCCTGACCAGCTCTCGATGTTGGGGTTTGGTAAGACCCCGATCATTGCCTAACCTTAACCACATGTTTATTGTTGTAACCATAATGACGAAGTTCCCATGACCTCAATTGCCATTGTAACTCTAAACATCATCCTTTTTGCCTCTGAAACTAACCAGAAATAGGCAATAGAGGTGTTGCATCATAAAACTGATTTCGAAAGAGTGAATTGGACAAATCTTAACAAATGCTTTTATGTTTTATTTGGCCGACTGCAATCTATTGTTTCTTCAAATCCTAGAGATATGAAATCAATTTGAATGGAAAACAATGAAAAGCAGAACATTCTCTCAGTTGAAAAGTTCAAAAGTTTGACATCTTGGATAAAAAAAATCTGACTTCTGGTTGTTTTAATGGCTTCCCTTCCTTTTCAATCATGGATTTTGTGCATGATTCACATTGAATTTGGAAAAGTTTTGTAATTGGTCTAATTTGAGTCCATTTCCCCAGTTCCATTTCTGTCTTTCCATGGAATAGTTAGAGACCCTTAATGGCCATGATTGCTTCATGGTATTAAAGACCTGATCCAAATTTAGAAACACTGTTGGTTTTGTAGAGGATGGCACCGTCTTTGTTCCTGACCTCTTACACAACCTGAGGGTCAGAAGGTCTCCTCATGGAGGCTCATACAGAGGCATTTCATGACCTTCAGAAAAGTTGGTACAAGTATTCAAGCAATCCACACTAGAGTCTTCTGGTTGTGGTATCTTAATATCCTGTGTATTCATTTCTGTTTTGTGACTCATCTGCTGCTTCCTTGGCAGACTGGCAGGGGGAATGAAATTGCAGATTTCCCCTGCATCCTGCCATTGTTGGTATCCCTTTTACTGTCTATATTAAAGTGGCGCTGAAAGGTTTGGAGACCGTGGAAGATGTCTGGTTGTGCTTGAGAAATTATTTTAGTCGAAAGAGTAGCGTGCTACCTATATTTTTCTGTATTTTCTGTGCAAGGTTGAATGATTAAAATGGCCCTATATAATTTAATATATATTTACACATTCCCAACAGTGTTCGGACAAGCTTTGTAGCACTCAATGATGTGTTATTTATTTATTAATTTACTTGACTTAGCAAGAGGTATCAACAAACACTGTATTTCTTATGTTTTTGTGTTGATAAAAAAATATTAGGGAATATCCTATAATATATGTGTATGACTTTGGCATCCCACGTGGTTGTTTTAAAAAAGACACTGTTACGGACATGCCCTGCCCCCAAGTGGCCCTAAAACAAATGACTGGAAGCACTGGGGACTGTCTTTAAAAGCTGACCTAAATGGAAACCAGAATGTGTGTGCTCCATCCACAAGAATCTATATTGCCCATTGTTTTTGCTACTTCTTGTTGTTTGGTAGTTTAGTGCACCGCTGCTGGTGAACACATGATTACTGCATGTTTTTTCATGAAACCTTACAAAGTCTCAGTAGCTGCTGAAGGTCTGCTGAGTCCTTGAACCTTGTTCAAAGTTGTCCTCCATAGTTTAATAAACATCAAAGGTCATGTTTGCTTTTTGCAGACGCACACAGGAATCCCCTGCCTCAGGACAAGTCCAGACAAGTTAAGGTTAACAGGATCTCAACGTAATAGCTTTGCATACATTTATGTAAATTATTGCTTCTCCCTATGAGCCCTTTTTCCATTTTGGTAGTCAATGTTTAAATTCCATTCCACTTTTGAAGTCAACATGATTCTACTTCAGAGAATAATAATGATGCTTATAAAACAGATTCCCATTGCAGCAGTAATTGTACAAGCAATAATGGTAATTTATTGTGTAATGATTGCGTTGTCATGGTGTTTCTCCTTCTGGCCACTCCTTTATCTATCAGAGTTTGGCAAAGAGGAAGTTTCTTTGATGAGTTAAGTAAGACGTCATCATCTGAATTACAATGTTCATTTCTCACTGTCTCAGCAAGCCACAACCTGCTTGAACAAGCATTAAACTTGTAACTCTTCTGCTTATACTGTATTTGTTCAGTAGCTTATACATGCATACATTAATTCAACATGCTCTTCAAAGAGAGGTTATTAAAGCATCATTTGAGCATTTTTACCTGGATAACGTGAACAGTCTTAAATAAGTTCTCTGGGGCTGCAGCTGCAGAAAAAAAGTAAAACTGCAGACATGTGTTAGCTCCTCCTAATATATATGTAATATATAGTATATGCATATTGCAGCAGGTTTTAAACTTAAATAAACCTTTCAAGCAGGAGTTACCCCAAAATTGGTTTTATTTTTGGTAAAAACAAAGGTCTGAAAATTTGTTGTAGTTAAGGCGTTGGCAGAATAATGACCCCTTTTTCCAGTCTGCAGTGGTTTCACCTGACTAATCAGAAAATATTCCAAATCCTTATCAAGACCTAACACCAAATCTTCTTAAGTGTTTATAATCAGAAGGCATAAACTCAGTCTTGCCCTTGGTTTAAAGGACACAATGTCATGATACGTCTGAAATGAGAACAAAATGACTACCCTGTAAGAATAAGCTCTAAAGGTTAGGTCATACTTCTGTTTTTATTTCTTAGTGCCCAAAGGCTTTTAGCATACATATCTTGTGTGCGCTTTCTGCCAATTTCCACGTAGTCCGTGCACATCGCAGCAGCGCCACTCCGCACTGCTCTGTTTCAAATACACACCAAGTCTATTTTTGACGGAGCCACTGCAAGCCCTTGTCAAGCTGACCAGAACCGATCAACTCAGACAGGAAGTCAAACAAGGAAACGTGCAGAGAATCCGATCAATTTCAGAAATAAAACACAATATACAGACTCCCGATCACATGTTCTATCACTTTATCAACATAACGTCAAAATCGGTTCTGAATTTAAAAGCAACATGTTGTTTGCATGTTTTTTTTCTCTTTTTTCTCTTTATTCCCACGTGATCTTGTAGTTCTCCTGTGATCTTGTGACGTCTGTGCTCAGCTGCCCTCACGCTTCATTTGAATAGCAAGAAGAGACTTGCTTTCTCAGTCCAAAAGTTACCAAATCAGCAGCACCTAACATATTGTCACTTTAAGTAATGTGATGCAACGTTTTAAAAAGTATTGTGACATCACTGTTTGCAGTTTTACCTTGGGAGCAGTTGACATGTTCCTTATTTCTTGGCTTCTTTCTATCTTCTACTTTTTACTGAGATTTATTTTTGAAATGTTAACATCAAAAGACATTTCCTGAATTTAGATGTAAATCTTAGGTTTTTGTAGAGGCTTATATGCTTTTGTTTTGGTTATGTGTTACTCGTAGATGTCTTTTTATATTTTTTAAGTTTGGCATATTTTGGTGTCTTTGGTGTCGATGATGGATTGAGAGAAAAGCTCAGCATGAATTGGAAATAAGAACTTTAGTTACCGTATTGCAGATCAATAGTATCTTTCAAACTCATTCCTGCTATGATTCTTTTCCATGTTGGCATTGCAGCTTGGTGATGTTACACTTTGAATGGGTGTATGCGTGTGGTGTTACTAAAGGCTTTTCCTGTTGCCTCAGCACGGTTTTCCTGTGAGCCGGATAGAAATGCCTGTGTTGACACACCAAAAGTTTTGTTGAACAGTTTCATTATACTGTAAGATGTTGTTGTGTGTTTGTGGTCAGACACCACTGAATCGGGGATTCAGCAGAAACAAGTCACTCGGTTGACCTGAACTCTCTGGAAGTTGAATAAAATTCTGCCTAACTGATGATGAGAAATACGTGAGTGTATTCCTGTGTCTGTATCTATGCCGTGGCATTTTTTGGTGAGTGTGCATGTGTGAGCTTGCGTGTGTGTGTTGTCCTCTGTAAATAGTTTGAATTCCTTCTTTCCAAAGTCACGCTTTCATGTTAAGCTCAGTGTCTTTTCATCTTTTCGAGTCTACTGTTGAATCCAGAGCCAAAGGTTTAACATTATCTCACCACGAATGTAACAATCATTTCCACATTTGTATTCCTTCCCGGATAACACACAACAAGACTCGCTCCCTCGGCACTGCTAACAACCACCTTTGTTTTTCAGACTTGAAGCTGGATGGTTTGGCCCTCACAGTAGCCTTGGTGGTCTGTTTTGTAAAGTCA